ATTCGTTAGGCATTAGATGATGAATTTACAACAACAGGAAAGCAAAATCAATGGCACAGTAGACCTATATCTGAATGGACCACCCAGCAAGTATGCCACTGGTTAATGGGAATGAACATGGAGCAGTATATTACAGAGTTCACGGCTATGAACGTAGATGGACAGCAGTTAATGCAGCTCGACAGTGAGAAGTTAAAGGTACGTAAATATCCCAGGATAGATTTTTAACTGTGTGAATTTCACTGTTTATTCAGACGTAATTTTAACCTTAGAGAGTCTATTTTCCCATTTTCATGACTTTTTAAGGGCTAGGGTTTCACTTTTTAAATACGTGGAGACAATACAGTTAGCTGAGAACTTAGTAATTGATTGTACAGTTAAAGACAAGCCACTTTTAGCCATTTTTTCAGAAAAATACATAATATTTCTTCCTTGTTTGTATCTTGAGGAAATCAAAATAAGCATAATTCCCCAAATGGGCCTGATATGTCTTCAGTCTTGGCATGAGGTCATATCAAAACAAGATCCAGCCATTCCAAATGCACAGAAATTCAGGATCCAGTTTTAGCAATATTGTTTTTTCCATATCTGCTCCTCAGGAAGGCTAAAATCCTATCTGGTGACCTTTTAAATATGCTTTTTTTTTAGTCCTGCTTAAAAAAAAAAAAAAAATCTCTTGTAAATCTTTCTTGGAGCCTTTTCTTGCCATTTTACCTCTGGAAAAACTGTATGGTGTGTATCCCCTTACAGTGCTAGTAAACTTTCAGGTTTTCTTTCTTGTTAGATTATCGGGCTGCATTTTGGACAGGCAAGATGTGTGACTAAAATGAGGCTTATTGGTCTATGTATTCTGGCATAAGGCAGATTATTAATGATCTGTAGTAGGTTTTGAGTGTTTTAGGGAGGGGGGGAAGAAAGTATCTAGCTTCAGTCTCCAAAATATACCTGCATTTTAGAATACACGTGCATGCAATGACCTGTGTTTTGTTAGATAGATATTTCCTTGGACATATGAAATACCCCTTACTGGTCTACCAAATGACTGTCTGTGGGGAACTTTGGGTGTTGATGCTTAAAGCTTCATTTACACATAATGCCATTCAGCGTTCCATAGAGCATGATCGAGTGCTGTCTGTAACTTGGAATCGGGTACTGCCACCTGCTGATCAAAACTCAGTGTGTGCTGTTTACTTTGTGATACACTTTTTAATAACACTTTAAAGTCCTTAACATTAAAAATCAAAGAGTAGTTACTGAATATAAATTCCACTTGTATGAAAAGAGAAAAATATTTTGACACTACTACTTCTTTTGCTATTTGCTGAAAATTATCAGGTGTCTACGTGTTTATAAAATGCAACTAGAAGCTGTTATTTCACAACTGAACAAGAGTAGGCCCTGGTTTCTTTGCTTACTTTGAAACCCAGATGATCATTTACAATGCTCTTGAGGCTGTTATTTTTCAAATAAATGGGCTATCTAGCAGCAAAATGAGTAACACTTTCCTAAACTGTTCATACACATACATACTGTTGACAGCGCTGTTGGAAGAAATAATGATGAGGTATTTTTCTTTCTTCCCCCCTCCCTCCCCCCCAAAGGCTTTGGGAGTTTCCAGTCAAAATGACCGATCAACAATAAAGAAAAAAATTAAGGATATTAGAAAAACACAAGAAAAACTGGAAAAGCAGAAGGAAAAGTTTCAAAAGAAGGAGAGAGAAGTTCGCAAGACTGGCAGAGTGGTAACCACTCTTGAATCAAGCTGCTAAAATGACCCTATTTTAGTGCAGACTTGGTTCATCTTGATGAAGTTCAGCAGATTTGTATATAATTGTATAATTGAGGGAGGAGGGAAAGTGCAACAGTTTTTCATGGTAGGTGGTTTTTTACTTTTTAATTATGGTCCCTCCCCATTACAACCCAATGAAATGAAATAATGTTTTCAGTATTTTTATTCCTAGTTGACTCTGCCTGTACTAATAGACAATAATTTAACTTTCTGCCTTAAGTAATATTTGTGCTTCTAAGACCTCAGATGCCCTTTTCATTGAAATTGTTTGTGGAAAGCAGAATACTGTATTAAAAATCATTCCAGTATCAGTCAACCAGCATTTGATAGAGTTGAACCTGATAGAGGGACAGTAGAAAAATCCTGCCATCAAATTCAGTCTGTGACAGTCTGTTTTATCTGTTGCTACTAAAAATGTATAGTAAAAGTTAAGTTTAAGAAAACAGTAATGTCAAATTAATTTAAAAAGAAAGCATGTATTTCAAATTTGTGGATTATTTTGTTTAAATTCTTGTATTTCTGGGATTTTCCTTCAAAGTTCACCGTAGTAGCATATTGGGTTTGAATTTTATTTGTTGCAACTTACTGAGAAAATAACAAGAAAAGCAGTTTCACAAACTACATACACGAAAATAGTTAAGTTTTCTGTACACTCCCCATAAGGTGTTGGGACAAGGTTTAAACCTATAAATAAGATCTTTTTTAACCTATTTTTCCTAAATAATACATAGTTTTATAGATTTACACTATGAATGAGATCAATTTGCAATACATGTATTTCTCTTTTCTACCTGATACAAGATTTTTTGTGGACCAAATTTATATATTTGCTAATTTTAAACTATACTGTTTTTCAAACTTAAAATACTGAGGGAAAAATTGTAGGGAAAATTATCACTGAAGCACTGGGTTTCTGCATTGTACTTAAATGTTCGATTGTAGGCTACAGTTTATTTCTCTTTAAAGGAGGATTTGATTCTCGGAATAGTTTAGAACATGAATTGGTGTTTTGTATATTTACATACTATTTTCTAGAGCTACTACAACAGCACTTCTTTAATTAGATTATTGCAGAAACTTAGACTAGTTTAAATATCTGTTCCACAGTAGAACAAAACTTACATTATCTGTTTATGTGGACCAAGTTCTCCTTTAAATCTGTGGACTGTTTTTCATTTTAATTAAATGAATGAACTTCACTGTTGGTGTTTCACAGTTGTTTCTTTTTTTTTTTTGTATAAATGTCTTATGAAGTTCAGCAAAAGAACTGTGTGGAAATGCTTCTGCACACTGTGCATTTCCAAAATAAAGTTTGAAATCTTGGTAATTATTACTTTTAAGAAAAGCTTCAATTTTCAGTTTTGTTTGTTAACCAACAATTCTTTGGTCAAGATTTAACTTATCTACTTTGTTTCCAGTAGTTTTCAGTTTGTACTCAAAATTTACAGACCCTGTGCCAAAGAGGAATGCTGCCCTACCGATAAAAGGGAATTAGAAATGATCAGCTGCTTAGGAGCAAATCTGTAAACCCACTCTTCAGTCACAAGGAAATTTATTTCTCAGTTAAGTGCTTTCAACTAAACAGAATATTGACAAAACTATATGTCATGTTTTTCCTTTAACCTAGTGATCTGATTGTTGCACCTGTGAAGAGCTTGTTTCTTGGGAAGGAGTCTAGTACAAATCATTGTTTCCCCAAGGTTGGCCTGTGTGCAGAGCTGTTGTAGTTAAATGGGAGGCATAGCAGGGATGGTAAACTCACCTGCTGCCACCTGAGCACAAGACTGTCACAGACCACAGCATTTAACATCTGTCAGATGCTAAACAAGAAGGGTGGCTCCACTGAAGTAGGCTAGTACCTAGCCACAAAATCACCCAACTGAAAGACTGATTTTTTTAAATAGTTTTAATGAATAAATGTAGTGATTCTTTCAAGAAAGTAGTTAATGCAAACCAAGATTGATTTCACAATGCCGGACTGAGCTCATTTACATACAAACTATTAATATCAGCATTTGGATAGCTGAGCTAGTATACCAGTTTTCTACAGTGATTCACTTCAACTTTAACCAGTGTGCTAGCAATGACTTCAGTACAGTAATGAAAATATTGAACACAAAAATTCTTATGAACATCTATTTAAATCAACAGTAATCAAAGATCAAACTTGTAATTAGGGTTAAACATTGTAAAAAACCAAAACAGTATACATTTGTTTTCACCACAATCATTCAGGTGGTGGGTGAGGAGATGGATACAAATATAATTACACAGCAAGTTGTTCTAATAATCAGAATTAATTGGTAGCTAGTTGAGAGTACAAAAGAGGTTTTAATTTGGTAATACCATCTGAAATACTTAAGTAGACTTTCTAGAAAGTAAACTATTAGCTTTTCTTCTGAAATGCTTCTTTTATTTCTCAGATATTACAGAAGTCAGTTCAATTAAGTTAGTTAATACATTAAAAAATTAGTGTAAATGCTAGAATGTTCAGCATCAGAGTGAAGGTTTTAAAATCCCTTGCTGTAACTTTCAGCTTTACTTCAGCAAAAGCAGTAGCTGCAAGTGTTCCCTCTTTTGTACAGGCTGCATTTTACAATATGAGGAATTTCTCACATCCATGTAGCCATGCACATGGAAAAGGCATGCTAGTCACCACCTCACATCCTTGTAAAGAATTAAAATAGGGACCTCCTGAAGTATGCACAATGAGTGGAGCAGGTGACTTTTTAACTGTTCTGGTGGCAATTAATCCTCCCTCAGTGTTAATTTAACTGTGTACACAGCCCATTCTGTAAATCACTCCTGTTAAAGTGACCTACATTACCTTAACTAGGGTGTTACACCGTTTTTATTGTCTGTCAGAAGTAGGCCAGGGAGGTGGCAGGTGGTAATCCTCAATCTGGCTCAACTACAACTAGAATAGCATGACTTAAATTTCTAACGTGCCAGTTATTCCCTTCACTTACGGTACCTTGCCTTCTGCTCTGCGCAGATAGGAAACTAGCAAAATTTAGGCTTATTGTGTCTTAGAGGGCTTATGCATGTCGGCTGCAGAACAAAACTCACAGAATTACATGCAATGTATTAACTGAGAAAATAATTAGTTCCTGGTGTCTTTAACTGCAGCAGTCCTCAAATGTTCAGGAATGACAGGAATCAAGATACAACATAGTCGTGTACCATTTGAACAAAGCTGGCACAACAGGCATTGAAAGAAGTTGAATCCTTTATTAAAATAAAGACTTTGTACCAGAAACATAATTCTCATTCCCCCTCTATCTTCTGCAGTAGGTTTTGATGGTTTGCCTTTGACAGATAAACACATTCTGCTTACCTTATTGATGTTAGTGTGACTTCCAGTTACTACATAAATGAAGCCAGAAGTACATCACAGCCACAAAGGTATTTCTGAAAACTGTTAACTCCACTTTTTCTTAGATACACCTGAGAAGGTAATTTCTATCGTCAAAGCAACGGAGATGCCCTATTAAGGGCAAATTTTAAAAACCTGTTTATTAAAATAGTTTCCATTTACAGCTGTAACCTGACATACTCGAATCTGAGATCTTACTAGGGCTAGAACACTGATACTGCATTTTGATACATACAGAAGTATAAGCAGAAGCAAGACAGCATATCTTTACACAAGTTCTCACCATTTGCTAATTCACAAGGATCATGACAAGGTAGGTTTTGTGCATGTATTAAATATTCACATTACAACCAAAGAAATATGACCAATACCCCATACCTGAGATACATTGTACCAGCGGTAGCAGCTAGAACTGATACATTTTCTTTAAATCTCCACAGACCAAAGTGTGATTTCTACAGCTGCAAAAGCCCCAATGAAGTCAAAGTGTGCAGGCAACATAACTAACTTTGCAAAATCAGGCTTCAGCATGCTTAAAGAATAGAAAAGTGCTATACAGCTGCAAAGGTATAGCAATGAGCTCCTCAGTACTTCTGACATGAGGTTTTCCATTAATCTGTAATACTGTATAATGGAAAAATGTTCTGGTGAGATTTTTCAATAATTCTATTAAAAACATTTTGTAATTATATGAATTAATACATTTCTCACCAGATGCGGCATAGATTGCATTGATCCCTATAAAACCCAAAATTACTGCTCCCTTGGCTTATCTACAAAATACAAAGTGGAACAAATTAACTGTGACCTTCTCAGTTAAAATTTAAACGTATGTACAGGTTTGGGGGTTTTCTTGGGTTTTGGTTTGTTAGGTTTTTTTTTATTCCAGAAAAGAGTAATTACATTAAACCTTCTGTTACTCCACTTAAAATTACTTCCACTTATCAAGTGTGGTTCAGCATCTTGGTGTGTAAACCAGGTCTTTTAATTCCCTTTACAGACATAACTACTTCTTACAAACTGTTGAGGAAAAAGCTATATACTGCGAAAAGTGGTCATGTCCTTTGGCTCACTGCTTGGCACGCACCAATCGTCCGCTTCATGGTTTGCTTTATAGTGTTTCCAGGCTGCTTTGTTATATACAGGGAGTCTTTCAATTGAGTCTGTTGATAAGGCCTGTAAGTAGAGAAGACTGTAGCTGACAATTCTTTTTAACCAAAGTTATGGTAACAGAACAAGGAGTTCCATTAGCAGTTAGATTAGTGTTGCTGATAAATTTAAAATGGTACAGTGTTACATCATACCTTTATGTAAATAACTGCATCTGTACCGTAGCCTTCTAAGGAATACAGTTTCAGGTCTCCTTGGAAGTACTGTGCATACAGACGTGATATGGGTAAGCCATAACCAAATCCAGCCTGATCCAGGAGAAAGAGTGTATTTTCATTAATTGCATCAATCAGTGGTGTTTTCTGATTTAATAGGTAAATAGACAAACTCAGCATGATGTTTGACAGTGAGAGGCGTTCAAATATTAACTATTATGCCCCCCAGAATACTACTGTACAGCCCAGAAACAGAACTACGCATGGATGATTGTGATTATGAGAAAACTCTTCTATTTCTTTGTCAGACAGGGCTGGTAGGTAACACTTCTTATATTATGGTAGCTTTTTGAGAAGAGATTATACTGTTAGAGAAATCTGTACTGAGTCTGTCTTAATGCCTTATTGAGCCGCTAATCTTAAGAAGCAATGTCGATGAGTTCGTAGCATATACTAAAATTACGTCAAGCCCTGTCTGCAGTAGCAGGGCATAGCCCTGAAATGTTAAGTGTGATTTTTTTAGTTTACAAAATTGTAGAGGTAATCTCTCAATGAACATACACAACACTTCTCTGTAAAGATCTAGTGAGTTGCACAGTCATCTAAATGTGGAATGCTATATATATTTAAAAAACACATTTTGAATGAAGCAATATGAGAGAATAAATTTGGAAAAGCTCTTAAGAGCTTCTCACTGAGACCTACAGCTTTATTTCTTGTGCATCTATTAAGTTCACACAAGATCAAAGAAGATTGTTCACATGCCCTGTCATATCTGCCTACCTTCATCCTTGCTGGATGGGAGGATTGGGGAATGCTACAACTCGCTACGCAGTACAAACAGAACTAGGGTCTTGATCTGAAATCACTGATAATAAGAACTTTTTTTCCTTTCATTCAGTAGCCACAAGAATTTAATCCAGTCCTTACTGCACTGCATGCAGCATAGTTAAGTGTTCTGCTTGAGGCAGCTGATCTTTACATTTGCAGAAAAACAGAATCTTGAATAAGTTTAAATAATTTTTAGTATTTTAGCATTTTATGCAATTTGCCAGTTGCTTTCAGAAAAATACTTGAATTAAGCTCTAATGTTGAAATGGTGATACTCATTTTATCTATAAAATCAGTACTTCATAGCTTTGTCTAAATGGTTTCTCTTGTGACAATTTACCATAACTAAGATGACAAAGGTATGTAAGTTTTGCATACCAAAGGTGTAGCTCGAGATGTCTCAACACGTGGACGTGGTGCTGTTGAATACATGTAGTTGAATAGTCTGTCAATTTTCCTCATAGGTACACCTCCACCACGATCACTCATCTGGAATAAGAAGGAATACATAGCATTATGTCTCTGAATACATTTTTGTATAAGACAGCTACTATCAAACAATGATCCAGAGAAAGTTCAGGTAAAACATAATATAAATTGTCCCTATTAAATTATGGGATTTCTTAAATTCTCAGCTACAGCAATGACCAGAGATAGATGAATCGTTCCCTTTCATTCCTTATACAAACCTTTTAAATAAAATACTGCCATAAGATGCACTCATAATCTCTTGGAAGCAGGAAAATTCTACTTAAATTGTGCATTGCTTTTATCTTGTTCATAACTCAATTTTGTCTGAAGTCAGAATCTATACCTTTTAGCAAGTACCAGGTTCTGTGTATTTTTATCTTTATTTCTCAGGAATACTGCCTGTTAAATACAGTCCATTAAAACCTATTACTGAAGGAGTAAGTCATAAGAGTTGTTTTGCTGTGGTTTAGTTAGACCTAGGAAAAAGCCTGTGCTTGCAGTTGGTACAGAAAAAGAAGAAATTACTCTGCAAACTGTACTTCAGGGAGGTTTGATTTGCATGGAATAGACAATGTTTATTTCCCTTTTTTCAGTTGTTTCACACCTGTATAGGTCTGTCATTGTCATATACAAAATGCTGATATTACAATTCTAGAAAGATGCTACTTTTTAGAACAATACTATTTTTAGTCATGCGCGCTTATAAACTAGCAAAGACAAAAGTATAGAATTCTGTTTATGGAGCCTTTAGTGTGACTGTGCAACCACTTAATGAATTACCTACTCATGCAGTATGTGGAATTCCATAATGGTCTTGTTACTTACATACTACTACACACAGTTCTTGTTGGAACCAGATCACCAGCTAACGTTAATAATATGCTGTCTATGATGGGGGAGGGGGAGGAATAATCAAAATAACCTTCAAAATAATCAAAAATGTGGGTACCTTCACAGTTAAATCCTCATTTCCCAACGTGACATGTACGTGAATTGGAGGATAAATGCATCGATCAGCGTTATGTTCCATGGTGGCTCTCATTGCATTCTGTAATTTTCAAGTATAATGTAAATCCTGTTCTTACCACTTACATATTCTCTTCAAATACCAATTTAAGAAAGTAATTTTTATCACCTGTTTCAGAATCAGGGCAAAAGCATGTGGTTTTACAATAGCTTTTGTAAGTATTTCTTGCTTGTTCAGTATAGTATTTATGTAGTTTATTAGAATACACACTTTTTTTTTTAGAACATCTGAATATTTTAATGTACAGTTTTATTCATCAATTATTTATACTGCATAGTATGTGCAATACGACACAAATATCAAGAAAAGTCTAGGACTAAACTGGTTGAGGAAAGCTCTACAGGACCTGTTACACATTATATCACTTGAAGATGTCCCACAAACTGGGTATCTTACTTTCACTTGTATACAGACATTAATTAATTAAACATCTTAAGACTTTTTTGACAAAGCTGTCTATTCAGAAGATTCAGATGTATTCAATGGCTAGGCAAAGGAGACGTGTCTCCCAAAGCTGTTCATTTTCTGTGCAGTTACTGTTTGTCTAAATAGTACAATTTAGGTATTGTCCTGCAGACAAATAGAGACAGCTTTGCAAAAACACACTGCTATCTAGAATTGGTTCAAAAAGTCAAACAAATGCAATCTCAGTAAACAAAGATGTATAAAAGAATCATGTAATGGTAAGTACACAGACCTTGAAAAGTTCAAAAACCATGTGATAGAGATGTGATGGCACATACACCACTTGCATGGGCTGTCCTGGTGATTTAACTGGAGGAAAGAGAGACTGAGTAATTAAATAGCAAACTAGGTATCTTTTACTCATTTCCACAGTAATCCAAAACGTGTAGTTATATTGCTGAGAGAATTTATCAGAGAAGGAAAATTTGAAGAGAAATCTTTTAAGAAGTTGTATGTTAATCAAAAGTCATCCTCAAGATTTTCAAATGTGCTTGCTGCCACAGAAACTAATCTTAAAACCCATCGTGGCATTACTGGTTAGGGCATATATTTGCTCTCAATAACCTGTGAGAATGTTATGATGAAGATAGAGTCAGCCTCTTCAAGTGCTGGGAGGACAAGAAACAGTGTATGACATAACAGGTTCAGACTGGATACAGAGAAAAACTTTTTCACCATGACAGTTAAGCACTGAAACAGGTTGCCCAGAGATGTTATATAGTCATCATCCTTGAAGGATTTGTAAGACCAAACTGGATAAAGCCCTGAGCAACCTGGTCTGACCTTATAGCTGCCCCTGTTTCCAGCAAGTCAGGCTAGAAACCTCCTGAGGTCCCTCCCAACCTGAATTATCCTATGATCTTACAAAGGCACCAGATAATAATTACAGCACAGCCTTTCTTGGATTCACTTAGAAATGAACAAAAAATACATGCTGTCTAGAAAACTGGTATAGTTTTCAAAGTTCTTTTTAAAGAATAAATTCGAGAAAATACATCATGAAAACATGTTCATTATATCAAAACTTAAGGAAAGGTTGCTCAGAAAATTCTGCTGGCTCTTAAGGGTCTTTCGGTTCAAAACATTAATCATTTCTCACCAGACTGTTAGTAACCAGTGCTTTATGAACATAAATGCTGAAGACTAGTTATGTCAAAAGATCTAGTACCAATTATGTACCCACCAAAGATAAAGGGTAGGGGAAGTGGAGGATGGGAATCATACTTTAAAACATGTCTGGTTCCTGTCCTCAAGTTAACTGCTTCCCTCCATGCCTCCACCCCCAAATACCATGCCTAACTTTTAAATAATGGTCTTCACTCTCAGCTGTGGGCAGGGAACATGCATTGGCCTGGATCAGATTTAACTTGCCTTCGCAATTCACTGAACAAAAGGTCACTCCTTTTAGAAATGCTGAACTATTTGTCCTGGCTTCTGAAGCACCTACACCATTAAATGACCCCTCAGTACAATTAGCTAATGTGACTGACAGTTTCCTACAAATGTTTTTAGCATCATGCCCCAAAGACAGAGAGAGGTAAACCCTTTAACCTAGATACAAAATGACAGGGTTTGTACAGTAGGAAGAGAAAATCTGGGATGTGTACTCAAGGTCACACTTCCTTTGCCTTTAGCTTCATAGGCCAAGTTACTGTGATTGCAATTTGGCTTTCGCAATTACTTGTAGGAGCAATTTTGATTGCTTGTTTTTGTAGGTCTGGTTGAACTTGGAATTTAGTATCTTTAAAAGTATTCCAGTAAGCAATGTCAGAGAGGCTCTTTAGCATTCTGCAGGATTATGAGGACAATAGCTGACCTCTGAGTTCACAGCAACACAGATGTAAGGTTTCTGCAAGTCAGCCAATGTCCAAATATTTTTTACTATGACTCGAGTATACTACATCTAATTACAACTACAGGAACATGATAGCTGAATAAGCAAGAGAAATCAGAGTGGAATGTTTAGTATAAATCTTAAAAAGTGTCACAAGAAATGTAAAGTGTGAGATACAATAGACAGTGTAGGGTAAAGACATGTAAGAAACATTAGGGAGGGAAGCAGGCTGCTAAAATCTGTTATATCAACAGCTGTAGTATGAAAAATCTTTCTACTGATTTCAGTTTTCCAATTAAAGGGAGAAATAGGGAAAGCCTTCTGCCAGATTTAAGAAATAAAAACCAAACAACTTATGACAGCAGATATAGAGAACACATTAACTACATGAAAAGTGTAAGGAGAACATTTCACCACCAGCTACTTTAGAAGAAGCCATAACTATGTTCAAGAGAGTGCCTCATCGCATATCCACTCACCATTCAACTCTTCAAGGATGAGTTCTGGAGAGCTCATGTAATATAAATCACAAAGTATTTTGGCACTTTCATAGCCATCTATAATAAAAACACAGAAAGTTACATTTCCCCCTCCTTTACAGTTTTCTCCCTTATAGTTTACTAAAAAGAAAACCAAGAATTTAAAACACTGTGTGCTGTCAGGAACGTTTTGTACTTTCTCACAAAAACTGAGCTTATAGGGAAAAGTGAAAACTTGAAATGAAACTCCTGCTTCAGGCAGGCAAGAACTAAACAGTATATGAATATCAAAATGTTATTGGCCCTCAGTACAGACATCTGTGTTAAGTTTTCAGGATTCTTGTTCTTATCTGCTGACTTTACCTCTAATAACTTCAACAACATTGCAGCTAGGATCAATGCTTCCAATGTGTTTTGGATGAGCTGGATTATTTTTCCCACCAAACAGTAATGCTGCCAAAAAAAAAGGAAAATATTATTTAATACCCAATATAATTTTATAATTTTCATTTGTCTTCTGGTTTTCAAAATATAAATGTATAGGCAATCTATAATTCCAATCTTCACCATAATTGAAAGCCTACTATTAGTCAATATTTTAAGAACTGTATTAAGAATGAGTTTATAAATAATGAGGCAAATAGAGTACTTCTAAGAAGCACTTAAGTACATATTAAGCACTTAAAAATTAAAGGAAAATATACTGACATAGCACAGGTTTCATTTCCCATCCTTGCTACAATGGCACTTACAGTGTTGATTAAGGAGCATTCTAATTGAAATGCGACTCATGTAGAAACGGTCTAAAAAATACTGCACGTTCTGTGAGGTCACTGGATCGATGCCAAAGCTTTCCTTGTACTCTATTGCTCCTTGAGCCATCGTAGGAATTACATCGTTGTGCCGATTCCGGATTTTTATCACTGTATCTGTAAAACTAAAATGAATACACTGTTTGTTAGTATGTCACTTGCAAATGAATTTAATACTCTGGCAAACAGTATCTGCCTACAAAAATGAAGACTGATACGTACAGAATTATCACAGGTCTGCTTACAGCAGTATGAATACAGGTCAGTCTTTACAGCGTATTTCAAGCAACTAGCATTGAAACAATCAGTACTCAACCATTACTGATTATTTATAAAATTATTATTTATTTATTATCTTGATTACTGCCAGAAAAAGAGAAAACTATGCCAACCATTTTCATGCAGATCATCCCATGCCTGTCAAATGACAGTTATGGTCAGCCAGGGATGAACAAACCTACTCCACAGGTGAAAAGTGCCATAAATCAGTTCCACCATTACAAGTAAGGAACTGATAAATATTTGGTCAAGTTTAACATATTCATAGCTTCTTCAGTGTAACAAAAAAAAGCCCTGACCAGACTGACAGGGCACAGAAGTGCTTTGTTTCATACTTCAATGCACTCTCCTTTTGGGAACAGGTGGTGACCTTTCTGCAGTTCTCTAAGATGGGAGATAGCTGAGATTTCTCAAGCTATTGTTTTCTTGCCAGTTCTTCTACATAACATTATCATCATAATGTGACAGCAAATCCTTACCTATGAACAGCCTCCAAATCTTCTGAGCTTTTGTCCTTAAAGTCAAGGATCTCCTGAAGACTTTGGACATACCTTTAAATGAAAGAAAACGTGACAAAGACCAATTCTAATATGCCTCCCCAGATCCCTTGGGTTAGTAATTTATGCTCTTCCAAATTTGCTTGTTTACAATCATTGTAAACATTTGGTGTGTCCTGTTGACCTATCCCCTGAGAATTGTTAGATCCCTTTTGAATCTATTCATGTTTTCTTCCAAAGTTCCAGAGCAATGAATTCAACCATTTCATTAGAATGTATAAGAGATCTTCCTAGTGTTTTAAACCCAGTAGGTGATCACTTATTTGCAGCCCCAGTGAGCCCCCTGTTATTAGAAAATCTTCCCAGCTTGTTCATGACTTAAGTATTTCTGCCGTCTCCTTCCTTAGATGTGTATTTTCCAAGCTGAAGAATTCTATTTGGTTTCTCCTCACGTAGAAATTGTTCCAACCCTTTGATTATGCCTCTTGGTCTTTTCTGTTCAGGACAGAGTGACTAAAACTGCATGTAATTCAGAGTAATAATGGGCTAACACAGTGGTACAATTATATTCCTCCCTGTTTGTTACTTAGTTCCTAACACTATTTGCCTTCTTGCCCATGAACTGACACATTCAGAAAAATATTACCAATAGCACCAAAATGCCTTTTTCCATTGTAAACAAACAAACATACAGGGAGAGGAGGCTCCTCTCTGTGCTCCACTTTGCATTTGTCCATGTGGAACTCATTTTGCCATTTGACCAATGCCATTTAGGTTCATGTTTCATTAACAGCCTCCATCTTCATTGACAGCTCTTTTTATATTCAGTAATCTAATCAATCCCACTATTCAATGGCAGATTTTCTGTTCTCTTAACTTTTTTAAAGTCTTTCCAAATAGATGTGTGCCTTTAGCAGTTGCCAAGAAGTCTCTTTGTTTTCCTTTCATCTTTCTTACAGAAGTTTATGCTTACTTCCAAGTTCCTTACCTCAAAGCAAATTCTACTTTTCAAAGGATGTCTTTTTTATCTTAATAGCCTCATATTCCTTTTGTTGTTTTACATAGTTTGGCTTTGGGAGCTTCCCATTGCTCTTTCTTTGTATTTGCTGCACCTTTACTCTCAAATTGCAATAACCTGTCTTTTAAATGGTTTCTACTACCTTCTGCAAGCATTTTGTCCTTTAGCCTGCTTCTGTTGGTTTCTTCAACTAGCTTCTACAATTTAGGTAAGTTTAATGTTATTAAACATTGTTCTGGTGAATTTTTGTTCTTACTGAATTCTCATACATGACTTTCTGCACTACTTGATTTTTAATTCCCTTGTCAGTTCTCTAGTTGCTCCTAGGGTTTTTTCCAAGTCTGTAAATTTAGTTCCTGATTTATGTCACATTGGGGTATTTACTCAGTCTAAATAAGTGATGTTCATGTAACAAGCATGTGAAATGTTCTTTCTCTAGAAGAGAACAAGTTCCTCCAACATGTGCATACACATAAGATCACCCTTAAAGGTACGATCTTCTTACCAGCTCTGTACTAGCTGAACTGAAGGTGTTCTCAGGAGGTTGTCTGGAAGCAGGCTTATTTCCTTCATTATGTTTGCCAGTCTCACAGGCAACTCTTGTCGCAGAAACATAAATGAAGTCTTTTCACAAGCATTTTCAGATCCTAAGACCAAAATAAATATATGACAACATCAGAATAAAGTCAAGTACATATGGTAGAGAACTACACAAACTCTTACTTTCTCGCATAAGAGGTCTGTGGTTTGGCCAGCCTGGTAAGCCAGTATTTATTTCACAGCAGCAGCCTATTTATATTTCAAAATGTAAATTCATATTGAAACCTATTGTTGTGGTAACAATATATAAATAGAAACTAGTTCAACAGTTGCAGACCCATACTATTCATCTTTAAATACTGCTTTATCCATGTAAAGGGTTCATTTTATTTGCAGCAAACACTGACTGTAACAGTATGTCATCCTGAGCATGTCAGAGAGGTACATGAAACCAGCACAGGAAAACTATGTGGGAACGATGCTTGAGAAAGTATGGTCAGTACACCCTTCTCGATCACTGATCTTACTGAATTACCATAACTCATATTGGAACACTTACAGACAACAAATTCTGTAATGTTTATCTCCTTTTCAGCTAGATCTGTTGTAGTTTAAATTCAGTCTTATGGGAACAGACGACAGATAAATGAATTCAAATGAATATTGAGAGAAATGAATGAACAGCTACAGCATTTAGTCATTATGACAGTAGATCTGCCATATATTTACTTCATAATTTTTTTACATTTTTAAAAGCTAAAAGCTAAATTACTGAATCTGTTGACAACTCACCTATCCTTTTGTAAGGACAGGTATGATCTGTGTGGGTGGCAGTTAAATTGGGATGGCAGGTAAATGTGGTTACTAAGATCAAGACCTAAATTTACTCCCACAGTGCTTGTTTTAATAGGCGAGAAAGGAGGGTGCTGAGCGAGGAAGAGGCTAAGAAATGCTGTACTTTATTCTCAGCCAGACTTCTTTCTAGACTTCAGAGTGTCATGTAAACAGCATCTGAACTTACTAACCTGTTCATCTGCTGCAGAGAGGTACATACCTCAGGCTTGGTGTTTCACAACAGGTAACTCCTAAAAACTAACTCTGGTGTTTCTGCTCAGTTCACTTCTTCCATTTGCCAAGGGGGATTTGGGGAAGAAGATTAAAGGAAGGAACATTGAAAAGAGGAAGCTGGAGTGTCCTGAACAGGAAAAATCTTCAACAAATTGAAATGGAGAAGTTTAGTTTAATGCATGCAGACTCATATGTTACAAACTACACTGATGAGAGGATGTTGGTTAACTTAATAAAAAAGTGAATAGCTGACAAGGAATTCCTCACCAGTGACACCAATATTATGCATTGCCTACATATGAGCTCTGCCCAGAAAGTTCTCATACTTCGCCTTAGTCTGACTGCATTTCAGGCATGGCTCTTCCTGGCCTCTTTTCTCAAGTAAAATTACATGAACAAGTCAGACTGAAGGTGTTAGAATGTAAAGATCATCTTCAAATGCCTCATATACTCAGCAAATGATATTCCACAAATTAGTCTCCTATCCGGAGGCTGTATCTTTGCAGTCTGGGGTCATATATGGAAGACAGCTTACAGTATGCAAGATTTCAGTGAATGAGCAAATGACTGCTTCCTTGTGCAGCTACAGTCTGTCCATATCCATCAAGAAATGGATGAGACTCCTACAGAAAATACTGTACACTTATAACCCCAGATATGACTGACATGTATGATCCAGACCTAAATTTGCTTATGGAATATTTCATTTGTTGGATCAAAACCTGGAGGAACTAGAAGCAGACTTTTTTTAGCATTACCAGATTTTATGATTTCCTCTTTGACTGCTCTCACTTCAGTGAAAGGAGCCAAAAACATCTCAGATGAAAACACTATCAGATTATAATGGCTGCAGAATGTCTTAGAAACAGATACTGTCTAAAGTCTTGCACTCTCCTAATTTTTTGCCTTTATTAGTTTTTCCTGTTATTAAAAGCAAAAGAGAGAAGAAAATTTCAAGACTGTATTTACCTTATGTTCAGGTATTCACAGAAAAAAAGTAGTCTAACTTTTGATATGGGGAAATACTGTGGCTTGAAAATAACACCTGTTTTAAGGTAAGCATTATTTTATTGGTATTTTAGTGGTAAAATAATGCAGGTAAAGTTGAACTCTTAATTGCACGATTCTTTGCTTAGGAGTATGGTAGCAACAGAATATGTGGTGGGGTTTCTGTACAAATCTGGAGTTCTAAACACTGGACACATTTTACTGCAGTGTATGAAACACTGAACAGATGGATGAAATTACTGTGGTTAAGAGCAACTTTTCTTTGTAAGTCTTCCTACTTATACAAAGGCTAGGATTAGTTCTGTTATGTTTTACTTACAAAAATGTAAAAAGCAATACAACTATTAACTAGTTAAATGTTTGTATACAACGTTTATATCAACATAGGTGCACACGAGAGTGTCCTGGGTACAGAAACAGAATGTATTACAGGATGGCTCCATCCAGGGGCTTTGAAAAAGTGTCTTGGTGGGACTTACAAGACCTTTCTCTCTGTAGTCTGCTCTGAAGCAGAACAATTTTGGTGACCCTTTTTGTTTCCAAGCCATCAGTCGAACCTGAGAGCATTACAAGTGGTTTTAGCGGGGAGCGTAATGAGTATCCTGTCATTGATGTACTCATTTTCGAGGCTAGATTCCCAGTCCTCCAGCATGGGTCCTTCTCTCACACATCCTCTACAACGACAACGTTTGGGTAGGGTGTTTTTGTAGGGCACAGGCATGTGACTGGGGTCATGACTGTTGCAGCTCCCGGGCACCAGCCAAGGTTAATGTTGTGCTTGGTACACCTCACAAGGCTGCACGTTGCTAGTGTGCAAAAAGCTTAATGAATCATAGAATAATTTCTGTTGGAAGGGACCTTAAAGCTCATCCAGCTCCAACCCCCTGCCACGGGCAGGGACACCTTCCACTAGAGCAGGTTTCTCCAAGCCGGCCCTGAACACTGCCAGGAATGGGGCAGCCACGGTTTCTCTGGGCACCCTGTGCCAGGGCCTCACCACCCTCACAGTGAACAATTTCTTCCCAACGCCTAGTCTAAATCCCCCCTCTCTGAGTCGCGCTCCAACAGCACCAATGCTCGGAGCTGCCCCGGCCCTCTCCCCAGCGCGGCAGGTCTTGCGATGCCAAACACGGGAGTTTCCAGCTGAATCTCAACCTTGCCCCGCTTTCAGCCCCTGGAAAGGGAGTCAGCTGGGCTGCGTTGGCCCGGAACGAAACGGAGCCCTCTCCTGTCCAAACGGACCGCACCAAGCAGCGGCAGCCACAGCAGGAGCGCGGGGGGAGGGGAGCCCGAGCAGCGCGCACACACACCCCCCCTTCCACCCCCCCGCGTTCCTCAGAAGCACCTGCGGGGCAGGCGGGCGGCGGTTGGGGCCAGTGCGGAACGGAGCTCAGCTCGGCCCGGGGAGGACTCACCGAAGTCAAGGAACTGCTTCATGGAGAGCGGCGACGGGGAAAAGCGCGAGTAGAAGTCCACCTGCTGCGGTATGCTGCCCGAGGAGGCGCTGCGCAGCAAGGCGCGCAGCAGCCTCATGGCGCGGTCTCGTCTCACCTCAGCCTGTCCCGGCCGCCATTTCCCGCCACGCCAGCTCCCCCGGCCCCTACCCAGGCCGCGACCGCGGCCTCCTTCTGCGGCGCTACCGGGAGGAGGTGCCCGAAGGCGTGGGTGTCTCCTCACGGCCCAGCCCCACGCAGCGGCGATGGGGCGGAGGAGAGGGCGGCTCCGAGGGAGTGGGGGGGGGGGGCGCCGAGAGTACTTCTGGCCACGCGGGCGGAGTAACAGCTGCCGGAGCCGCCGCTGTGCCCGGGCTGTGTGCGTAAGGAGGCGGCGGTCGCTCCGTGCAAGCGAGAGCCCAGCCTCTAGCAGGTGCGGTGGTGGTACGGGGGCCGCCGCCGCTGCCGCCTTCCCCGCGTCGGGCTGCGGGGCGTTCACGGGGCGGGAAGCCGTGAGGGGACCGGAGGCAACGGTTTCTCTAGCGAGGCCGAACGGTGCCCTGTGTCTGCACCCGCTGTGGAAGGGCTATCCTAGAGGTTGGCCCACGCGGTAAACGGCGGGCTCGGGGAGGGGGAACGGGTGGGGGGCTGCCGCTGCCCCTCGCCGCGGTCCGGGGCGGGTGGGGGGCGCCTTTGTGGCGGCGGGGACCCGCGGGGCTGCGAGGGGAGGTTGCGGAAACCCCCAGAAGTAGCGGCTTTGTTAGCACCGCTGCCGGCCGGCGTGAGGGCAGCGCCTCACCGGCGGGGTTCCAGCCGTGGTTTAACTGCCGTGTGCGTGTCGGCTTGGCGGCGGGATGGTTTGCAAAGGGGCACCGCGGGCTCTGGAGTCCCTTCGTTGGATTGCAGCGTGCGGGTGGTAGAAAGGAGGGGAGGGATAATGTGTCTCTTAGAAACAGAAAAATACAGGGGAAAAATAGGGCTTCCTTCTGCACAGATAGACTCCTGATCGGTCAGCTAGCATAATACATGGCTTTATTGGTTAAAGAGTACTTGAATCGTATGTCACACTATATCAATTGGCTGTTAGGATGCAGTATGTGAGGTACTAAACAGTGGTATTTAATAGTTTCTTGAGCTGTTCAGGTAGAAATATCTAGAACGTTTAAAAAAAAGGCAGTTAAGAGTGATTATAAGCGTACTGCAGTGTAGATACTGAATTCTGTAATCCAAATTGTATACGATGCGGTACAATAGAAGATCTGGTTCTATATAATTTGCTGCTTTTATTGTGGATCCCTGTATTTGACCCATAAGTTTATCATATGAAGTCAACTCTTACATGTTGCTTGATTTCCTTTAAATGTGTCTTGTGTTTTGTACCTGTGAGTTGTCCATGACCTGACAGGATAGATGGTCTCCACTAGAGTGGAAGCTGCTTGCTGTTTCTGGCACATTGATCTGTTCAGCCCTCTGTTGGCTTGTTTGGAGCCTCCCATTAGAGAGATGAAGATACCATAATGAATTCAGGTGCTGGGTTTGTTGTTCAGGGGTTGGTTTTTTTTTTTTACTGTTGCATTGAAATACAGAAAACATTGATCTAGTGTGCCTCCAGTGACTGTGTCAAAGTGAAGCAGTAGTTCAGTATTGGACTGCTTCATCTGGTCTGTAAAGAGGCTATACCTCCATCTTGTGCCAAGAAATTAAGGGCTTGTTCTGTTCTGGCTGGGGAATGGTGGCTAGTGGGGTGAACCAACAGCTTATCTGTCTCTGGAAGTCTTCTACACAGTACAGGTTACTGACAGGTTTTGCTGTATTGCTGCTTGTAGGTCACCCCAGAAGCACCAAACAGTAATTTGAGTTTTGTAGTTGAGACTCTACTTACAAATTGCTGTGCTTTAAAACCATTTTATAATGGCCTCTCAGTTGTGAACCAGCACTAGTTTAAAACAGTGCCTACAAGCAGTAGGTTGGGTATTTGTAAATTGTTGCAATTTCTTATGATGGCTCTGAGTTGGCTTCATCTTTAATGCCTGTATGTTACTGTCCTGATGCCTGATGTTTCAGCTTAACAGCCTACCTTAAAAAGTGGCCTACTGCCTGAAGTTATGTTTGGATATCAGTCCCCAAGCAGAAGATGTAGCAAGGGCTGTCAGAGGCTAAATAAAGCATTGCGCTTTGTAAGCCCATTCTCAATAATGTAAACAGTGAGCACTTTTCTCAGGGAAAATCATGCTGGGTGAGCAGTAACTGTGGACAAGGAATTGTGGATATTTATTTAAATGATGTGTTCAGAGCAGTACAAACCTCTGTTTACCCAAAGGCATTGTCTTGGTCTTGTTCAAACTACTGATCAGAGACTGATCCATGTAAACTCTTATCTGATCCAGTGTGACATGAGCTGGAGCTCTGATGTGCCAAAGTCTGTAAGATCTTACACAAGCAAAAAAGGAGAAATGCATTATTTTTGTCATCTGGCATTTTTCTGCTCATAGCCCTGCTTATTGGTGTTCCTGAAATTATATTTGGATCCATAATTTAAATGGGACAGAAGGAATTAGACTGTAAGATAATTGAAAGCAGTTAATTTGAGTCTAAGCATTAAAATTTTAATTTTTTAATTATTTTTGGTTTTCAGTGTAAGCTTTCATAAGGCAGTTGGAAGCACTCTTGCAGGGTATGTCAGAAGGAGCTGTTGGTTTGTTAAGGCAATACTATAAATAGCCCCTTACTGGAAGTCACTGTTCTTGGTTGTTTCATGTACTGGTACTTATCTCTTTTCCTCCCTTTCCTCCAAAATGGGCACATCATAGGTAAAGAAAAAACCTTAAGTATGGATATCCATAGAATATCTTTTTTTCTCTTTCAGTGGTTTATACGCCTTGCTATGGTGTCTTCACAGTCACCTGGTTGTCCTGTCCATGTCTCTCTTCTGCTTGTGTATTTAATCTGCACAAAGGCTTGTCATTATTATTCTTAGGGGTTTGATACGCTAGAAAATTCTTAGGATTGGCTTGATGTGGCTTTGGTATCCTTTTTTAGGAATAGAAATAAAAAGATACCAAAATGGCAGCAAAGTTGGTCAAAAATACGAAGGGGTCTCTGTATCAGTTATCAAACTGTAGTAGATACAAGAACATATGTATGGGGTCATCTATTTTAATTCGATATATAGCTGAACTTTGGAGTTTGTGAATTCTTGCCATGCTCAACTTTGTGACTGAAGACCAGAAGGCAGTTGGAGAAATTTTATGATTATCATGGATGACTTCTTCCATAGGACAACTACACTACATAGCTACTGAAGTTGAGCACTAATGTTCTGTGGGAACAGGAACAGCACAGTGTCACCATCATGCTGCTTAACTCTTGGCCGTCATCAGTCAGGATGCTGATTCAGGTGGGTCTGTGGACTAGTCCAGGATGGCAATTTTTATGCTGTTTCTCCCTGCTAAGCTTGGAATCAGCCACAGGCTTGTCTCGTAAGCCACTGGCAATGATAACATTTCTCAGATGTGTTAGCTGTTGGTCTCCTCCCCTGCAAGAAACCAAGCAATACCCCACAAGCATTTCTTTTAATCCTCTTAGCAGTTGTGCATTATTTCATATGCTCCTGGCAAAAGTAGTTGACTTTTCTGTCCCTTCCTCCCCTATCCCCTGAAGACACTGGAAGAGGTGAGGAGGAAATAAGTAATTAATGCTGTGTATCAGTGGTAAGAGGGGCTGTATGTTTTTCTGCAGTAGGTAAGCAGCAGCAAGGACATCTCAGAGCTAGAAAATTAAGGAGGAACAGGATCTAGCTTTGAGTGTGGAAAATGCAAATGGCAGGCCCTGTACACCAACAGCATCACACCCTGACTGGGGCATTAAGGCAGATTTCTGTGGCAGTTTTTCAAGGTAAGCAATTGCTGTGTTTTTCTCACCAGGATCATGGTTAGGACTCCAGCAAGGCTATGAGGAGGTTATAAAAGGTGTATAGTTTTAATTACAAATCCACAACCAGGGGAGACAAATGGACATTTAAAGATGACCAAGAACTGGCATAAAAACTGAAGGAAGTGCTTATGCAGCAGCACCACCCACATTCTTCTTGTCACCACGAGTGCATTGCTTGGCAAGTTGACATGTACATGTGCCTGTTCTGGCTTAGAGCACCACCAGGTTGTTTCATCACAGTTTGTTCTCCCGGGTTTTGCAAACCGTCTGCTGACACTGTCCTGTTGCCTACTCTGTGCTGGGAGAAGTTACTTCAGCTGGTTGTATCTAAGCAGACTTCTGGTTCTGCGTAGTCTCTTCATTTTAGTTAAGACACACTGCTGCAGAGACAGCATTGTAAGGTGGGTGTTTCAACTGGGGATTGGTGTTCTGGTGCTGCTTCCAAAAGCTGCTCTTCACATTATGTGCTGATTTTTGTGTACAGGCACCCTGTTCTGTCTCCTCTTCCACATATAACTTAACTTCTGCAAGAGGCAATGACTGAAATGATGCTGTGATAGTCCCTTCTTACTGAAAGCTTCTCTTATAAGGTATGGGTCCTGTGCTGTGACAAATATGCGTGAAGATACTGCAATTTATATGGCTCTATTTAGGCTATGTAGTGTGTTTATTTTATATATAGATTTATACATACACACTACTACACACAAACACAAGCACTAAGTAAATATATAGTACTTTATGTATGTATATGTATACAATGTGCATACAATTACCTATACAGTACTGTACTACTCTGTATGTAGTATATAGTACATCTAGTACTATATAGCATATATAAAAATCTAATATACTATATTTGTGCTGTACTTCCTCTTATCAGCTACTTAGCTGTTCTCCCAGCAAAGGCGAGCCAAGCATCCTCTGAGGGTTAGTGTCTTAAAAATGGATATAAACCGAAGGTTTCCTGTGTTGTTTTTCTGCATCTTTTTGGCTTTCCTGGTTTTGGGGCCAGGGAGTGTCTTTGTTTTGGAGGGTGTTTTTGGTGGAGTTGAAGCTGTATCCTGCAATCATGTAACTATCAGTATCAAACTTCCACTGCTAATTACAGCTAGGTATGTGAAGTCCTTGACTAATTTTGGGGGATCCATCTATCTTTCCTAGTTACAGAAACACCTGTCGGGCCAGGGAGCTTTTAGAAGACCACATGCATTTTAAGTACCCTGAGCAGCAGAGGTGAAGTGTGGAGAGAGGAGAGAAGAGGGGGTAGCTCTGCCCTATGGGAGCTGACGCTTGGTGCTTTACCAGAGCCTGCTTTATCCTAATGCTGGGAACTACAACAGCCAGCAGGGAGTCTGTGAGCAAGAGATTGTGTGTTATCTCCTGCAGTTGCCTTATCTGACCTTTGCGTGGGGGAGGACTCCCACAGTCATGGCAGTATTGAGTGTGAGACAGTTTGTTACAGCTTGCAGCTTCCACCTTACTCTTCTAGTGAACTTGGCTATGGCTACCTCAGATAATTATGGTAAGAAATCATTACTACCAAAACCAATGTTTCATTAAAAAAAAAAGATTTTATTTCACACTTCTATACAAATATCCACAGGTAATTTTGAATGTAGCATTGCTACCTGGTACAAGAAAAGTTTGAGAGAAATGTATACCAGTGACAGGACTTACTTTTCAAGAATTTGCAGTTTAACGCTGCCAAAATGTTCATGTTCGTAGGTGAGGGACACAACCTGCTTTTAAATCCAAGGCTGTTTGTCAGGCTTAGCTCTGACTAGCCTGGCTTCTGATGCTGCTGAGTCTTTCAGCAAATAAGCTAGAATTGTAAAAGCTCAAAAACCAGGTAACAGATAAATACACATGTAAGTGTTCATAATGTCACAACATACTGAGATTATCTAATGGAAGGAAGAAGAGTCTTAAATTAATGCACTTTTTCTAATAACTTTTTAGGTGACCACACCTTAAAGAAGGTACATTCAAAGTTAGTAGTAAAAATAAGACACTTGACAGCTGCCCTCCTAGCAGGTTTTTACCCTATGAGGGGAAAAAGTACCAAGAGGTTTTTGCATAGTTCAAATTACTAGCACTTAACATGCATACTTTTTGAGCAGAATTCTGTTTCACATGGAATAAACAACTGTGAACTGAATCTTTGTTCTTAAATAGTACCAAAGCTGTAGAACATGGGTAAAAAACTAAACTTTAAATAGTTTTAGCAGTTATGTTACAATAACTAGATTACTGATAAACACAACATTGTGGTTCTACTTTTATCAACATTCAGGTATTCAAGACAATTCAGTAGTCTCAATATGGATCAGCTCAGATCCCATTAGTTAAGGTAAGTTGGGCATGTAGAGCCTCCTTCAAGTGCTATGTGACAGCTGCAGTAGTCAATGCCTTGGCCAAACAGGAATTTCTTATGAAGCCGGAAAGCTGTTTCCAGAGAACCTCTCATTTGCAGGAAGTATAAAACTGTATCTAAAACCCTTTCTTCTGCTTGGTGTCCAAACTGTTCAATAGTCTGAAGTAATATACAGATCATGTTACAAGACCTGATGATTCCTATTACATAAAGTTACATGTATCACAAAAAAGCCCCCATACACATCACTGGAATAAATATTTACAATTTTGGAAAGCATTGGCACCTTCAGTGACTTAATAAAATGCAGTGATAGCCTCAGGTCTCATAATCTGAAGTTCAAAAACACAGTGGACTTGAAAGTTCGGTTAAGTCTTTGGCCTAACAGTTAGTCAAAGACAATGATTTATAACAAAAATAAATACAAAAATGACTAAAATTTGTATATACAAAAAGTACATCTAATACTCAAGCCTCTCTTAAAAAAAAAACAAAAACTCAAGAAAAAAAACAACAACAAAATAAACCTGTGTGTATTTGTTGTGACCAAGAGTCGCACAATTCGAGCAAAATGACCTATTGCACATGTAATTTAAAGACGATGCTTTTTGTTAAGCCCTAACTACTGCAGTAGGCAAAGTTTAAAGTAGATTGGCAGGTCTTCAAAGTGTACTTGCACAAGGTGTGTTAAGGCAGCTGTGTGTTTATAATGGACTATGCATTAAGGGAAGGATGAAGAACTTATCTTGACCTTAACTGTCCATTCCTTGCATCCCTAGGAAAGAGATTATGATCACAGGAAGAGGTCTGCTGTAGTGGTTTTGCATATGTTGCAGAAAAGACCCCAAATCAACACAACATCTTCTGAAGTGAGTGTTAGATTTGAAGGGGGGAAAGAGGCAGTCTGGAAATTAAATAATGCAAGTCAAGTCTTTTGAAGCAATGTTAACTGTGCAAACAAAAGCCTCAATATAAGTAGTAGTATCTACAATCAAATGGTGAATGTCAATAGTGTTCATAGATCTAACTCCATCAATATTCTATTAATAAAACTTTAACTTCTCTCTGAACTTTGCGATGAGAAGAATTTGTCACTAAGAATAACTTTCATTTTCATTCCATTTTGTGAACCACTGTTTTGTCTCGAGCTCTTTGTATTTCCCATCTTTGATGTGTCGCTCTTCTTTTCGAATTCTTACAGCATGATACCGGGGGACACTGTCTTCGTACCTGGAACGCCGGAAGAACCCGCACTACAGCAGAGAAGGAAAAGAACAGATTAGATTAAAGTTGCTGGCAAAGTACTATGATTACAGAGATAAGTTCTGCACAGGTAAGAAAATTGAACACAATTACAGATATAGTTCGGGAAACTTGCTTCTCCTGAATCAAAGGTGGTATTGTCTTGTACAGTGGTGTATTTTAAAGACAAACACAGATTTCCAGGACCTTCAAGAAAAGTTACATGAGGGCCTTGTTTTTCAAAGCACCATCTCAACTACAGTCACCTGAATTAACTATCCATACACAGTATTAGAACATGGCTCTTGCTGAGTTTGCCATAGGATAAAAAAACAACACAAAAAAAGACATAATTGGAAAGTTCTGTAATGTGCCATGACACAAGTCTCCCTACATGAAACCTAGTGCAGTTTTTGTGCCCTGCAAGTTCTTATTCAAAGCCACTGTAAAATGATTTTAAATATTGATGAATAGATTAAAATTAATTTTAAAAACAAAATGGAGTTATGGCCACAGAGTTCCAAAGATGATGATGGGTAGATACTGAACTTCACATGCTCAGGGGTCACTGATGTCAAGGTTAAGAGACATTGTGCCATCCAGCTGTCATTAGGTAATGCTAGAGGGAAAAATATTAAAGCGGTTTTGTTCACAGTATTTGTGGTGCTGGGGTTTTTCTTTTTGTCTGGTTGTTGCTCAGTTTTTGTTGTGGGGTGTTGTTTTTCTGTGGGTTTTTTTTGTTGCTGTTTTGTTTAAAAAAAAAAATACTAGAACTTACATGGGACTAAATTTAAAAAACTGCACCGAGACATAGGCCAAATCTTTAGCCACTGCTTAGTTAAGATTTCATTAAATGTTTATATGACATATTCTAGTTAATTACTCCTCCCCATTCCTTCATCCCAAGCATCACTTATTAATATAGTGTACATGCATGTAATATCAAGTTGAATAAAGGTTGCTAGGAGCATAAACTACCATGCATCTAGTAGCTTCAGCAAAAGAAAGCGTGTTCCTAGAAAAGTGTACCTTAGAATTGAAGAAAAACAGATGTTTCCACAGCAATTCTCATTATGAAAACCCTTTTCTTTTTATAAGCAATATGTACCTATTAGCATGCATTAAAGATTAGTAAAGCAAGTTTATCTGTTGTCCACAGTCTTAGCTTTGTATCTTAACTCTGCAGTTCTGATTACCATCTCTCAAACTTAAAAAAACTTACGTGTACTGCTAAAACATAAATTAAAAAAAAGACTAAAAAACACTGCAAGAAATCAACATTTGCTAAAGAAATAAACAAGAAGCTTTTTAGACCAAGGTAAATGCCTGTGTGTGTTCACGTGCACCAAAAGCGAAAAATCTATCAACAGAATGAGCAAGCAAGTATGATAGTTTGAAATCCAAAAGTTAATAGAACGTATGCAATAAAAGCTCCATAGTTAGCCACCGCAACAACCAGAGCATGTGCCACAGTTAAACATTAAAAAATACCATCAATTACCAATTACAGAAGTAGATCAATACTATGCATCAGAAGTAAGCCTCTCTTTATCAGATGGCTGAGCATGGATCTCAGCCTTGTGATATGTGGCATCGTAATGATCTTTCTTATTTCTCTTGAAGAAACCACACTACAAGGAAGCAAGGTATTTAGTCAATTTTTGTGGACTGGAAGAAGTCAAACCTGTTAAAACTGACTTAAATTACCTCTGAACTGTCTTCCCATTATCCCTTTGCAGTCCTCCTCTCCCCACCCCCTCCAGAAGAAAAAAAAAAAAACCATAAGGTCTAGCAGCTTCTAGATCTGAGCACTTCTTGGACTAAACTCAATCTGTAGAACAAGAGAATAACCTGAGGTAAAAATATACTGGTTTAAAAGCACTTTGTTAAATTTATAATGCAGCTGTTGTTTGTGTTCAGTTGGTTGTTTTGTCTTTAAGAAAAACTACTATAAAGTAGGTCCACAGCTGGCAGTGAAGAAGAGAAGTCTATACTGAAATATGTTTGTGGACTACTGCACAGCAAATCAGAACTATCCTGTGAGAAGTAACTTGCAACAAATAGGAGCTCCTCAATAAAGCTAATTGCTGCAGTTTCTAAGGAAGAAAGTAAGTGACAGATAGAAAGAAGAGGTGAAAAAGAATATCCTAAGTAACCTTGTGCTATCCTGTAACAGCACATGCTAACTGCCTATGTCTCTTAAGAACTAAAAGGACTGCCCTGTTATACTTGGAACCACAACTGGTTGTAAAAATGCCAAAGGTAGTTGAAAAATAGGTACTTAACTTTTTATTTTACAAATCGCCTTTTGTGATACTGTCAGTTTAATGGCATTTCTAATGCTACTGGGAACAAAGCCCTGCTAAAACATTTGTAAGTAATTCACATGAAATTTTACACCTAACTGCAGAAGCTCCCATTAGCTGTATCCGTCCACATCAAAGTAAATATAGGCTCTGATTCAAGTTTTGCACAGAGCTCAAAATACTTCATCTTGTGAGGATGTGGAAGCTGAAAAATTTTGTAACAAGTCTTCCTATGTAACCATTTTAATTCCAAATGTTGCAAAACTGAGACTCAAAGGCAGTATATGGTTTGGGCAGTTTGCTCTATTTTGAGACCCAAATACAAACTTAATAATTTGCTTAATTATTATGCTGTCTTGTCAGTTGTAGACCAGGAAATATAACCAGATGAATAAGAACTCACCTTCCATAGTAAGAATACCAACAGTGCAAGCATCAATATGCCAGCAAAAATAGCCACTGCGATGATCCACCAAGGTACTCCTGTATAAAGGGCTACTGGTTTTGCAGGAAAGACAGTAACACGCACCTAAAGGAGAGAAATGCATCAAGATGAAAAGAGCATGTCAGAAGGGTCCACATTTAATATACTGTTACAGTTTATATAGTCTTATCTCTAACAAGATGCCTTCTCTCTCTCACCTGCAAAATGTTTTTGAAGAAAAAGTTCCTGCTGGTGTTATTTAAATATGGTAGTGAATTTATCCAACCCAAAACAAGGTAAAAATGATAGATAATTTAAAAATTGATTAAGAAGTTAAGCTTTTAGCTACTTTTAAAATGGGGGGTTTTCTGGTGGGTTTTCTTTGGTTGGCTCAGTGGTGGTTGTTATATTCAATTTTGTTTGGTTTGGGTTTTCGCCCCCCCCCAACTTTTGATTTAAGCTGGAAACATCACAACCACAATGTATGGTTAGCATTAAATGTTGAACGTACCTGAGCAACTTCATTTGTGAGCTTAACATTCTTAGCTGCAGCAGGAACACTGATTGAAGCCCTAACAAGAATGTCTAGATAATTCATCTTGGAGTATTCCTGTTACAAAATAAAATACAGAAATTAGACACAGAACAGGAAACAGCTGTGACCTTCCAGAAGGGGCATGTAAGGGGACTTACTTCTAAGAAAGTACTATTCCACAGCCTGGAACGTAGCACTATAGATGCCTTGCTGTCTAAACCCTTCAGGGGACATTTTATGTCCACACAGCGTGCATTCACATTGCAGTCCTGCAATTATAAATTTATATATGTAAATAAAAACATATCCTCGCAAACTGTTTAACCCCGAGATTAAAAATTGGATTATATACAGCATATTTATATGCAGGAACCAAACTCCATTTGCACTGACAGCAACCGGAAAACACAATAAAGATGTAATTACCTATTTATTTTAATATAGATAACTGTGCAGAAATTATTTTTCTCTCATGAGCAAATAATGTAAATGAGGAAATTTTAAAAGAACTGATACTTGGATTTAAGACAAAAGCAAAGCAGTACCTTCTTTCACCCTGGCAAACTCAGAAAAGCCCTCTTAAAAGTGCAGAGGGTGGTATCTGACAAGACTACATTGGAGCAATATGCTTACCAAGGTCTTGTATTTTCTTTCTGAGAATAAAGAAAGTGTTTTGCTGTCTGTAGTCTGCTTCTCTGCAACTTCACGTTTCCTTCTTGAGTTATGGGATTCCTAAAAGAAGTAAAAATTTTTAGTATTTTATCTACCATAGGCATCTCTTAATGCTGACCCCATACAACCAGAGAAACAAGTCCCGTGAGTATTTTCTTGTTCCAAGATCAGCATAAGTGACATCATTATATATCCCCACTTACCCACGTTTATTGCTAATAGTAGAGTCAGGACAACTACTAGAATTTGAGATTACCTAGAGAGGTCAACTGATTACTTTCTTTAATAGGTCAAGGGTTTAGAGTTATAAAGCTTTTGATGTTACTTCAATGTTCTGTATAAAGAGTATTAATGTTACTATGCTAAAAGAGTAAGATTCTGCTAGAGGCAGTAGATGATTTTTTTAACTGTATATTAATTACATTCACAATGAAAGTTCATTAACTGATGAAGTGATCTGACCAGAATGGGCTTACGTGCATGCATTTTTAATGGTGGGAATTGGAACTCCTCCAAAATGATTTTAGGATTATGGGGGGGGGATCACATCTAGATATAGCACTTCAGTGTGCCTGACACTTGGTTGAGAAATTTTTTCTTATTTGTTATAAATAAGGAAATTTAAATGCAAGTCGGTTTCTTTCTTGTTAATAAAAGCACATGGAATTCCCCTGGGCTGGGGGGGATGTTTACGTTTATTGTGAACAGATTTCAATAATGCTGATGAAATTTGTGAAAGCAATCAGTGATTGTATCCTGTAAGAGCTTATGACAGCAGTGCCCATCGCAAAAACAGCCACTGTGATGACAGATTATCAGTCCTTAAGCACATTATCCTCATTAGCTGAGGTCTCTAATAAGCTAAACCCTTGATACATTGTTCATGTATTGTGCTTGTGAGCTGCTTAAGACAAACAAAAAACCCTTCTGGAGGCAAGTTCTTATGCCCTACTGCCACATGCTGCACTGCTTTCATGTTTCAGTAATTCATGAACAGAAGACATAGAGGGTAACATACCACAACACGCAGACTATTGATTTCACTTTCAGGTTGACAGGAGACTTTTTCCAATCCTTTGGAATCTATTTTCATCAAATAAAGTAGCCACTTGCCATTACTGATTTCTTTCGGCCACTGGATGTCCAGGGAAGCAGTACCAAATGTTTTCAGTGGTCTGCCCAAGTTAGTTACCTGTTAAAACAAACATTCTGTAAACTGTGAAATACTTAACGGGATTTTCTTCTTGATCAGATGGGCAAGTTTTAAGCATGCAGCTAACGAGATTTAAAAGCAGATGAAACCATCAAAAATAGCGTAAAACTAGCACGCTTGGATAGCAAGTAAATAGAGTTGAAACATAAGGATTAAAATTCCCTAACATGAAATTTAAGGTGTTGATTTTCAGAAATCCATCTTCATTGAACAACTCCAATTTAGAGTTAACAAATCATTCAGTTATGCAAGTGAGGTAAATTGCAAGTTTACAAGGAACTCTGACACAGAAAGATAACCAGCTGTTGCTCTCCTAAGTCTGGAAGTTGTTTCCCAACCTATTTTTTGCTTTCTTGGTGTTACTGTTCATGATAGCACATTCTAAAACTTCTGCTTCTACTAGCTGCTTCTACTTTAATATATATATATACACATACAGGTGCAGAAGAACATAAAGCAGTGACAGAGATGGACTTTAATCCTGACAAACTGCTATGTACAAAGCGGCTCACGTTAATGATATAGGAAAAGTCACTCTCTCGTTGATAAATACTTTTTTTTGGAAAAAAAAAAATATCTCTCTTACGTTCTCCTTGATTTATTAATTATGCAGAAGACGAAGAGTGAAACAGACCCACACATTCAGAGTGGCTCCCACAGTGTCATCTTTTGCCTGCTCTGCCCTGCACGCAGCAAGTACACATACCCGCTGTCTGTGGGTCTCAGCTAATGCCTGAGCACACCACAGTTAGGGTTCTAGGTTTCAGTTCTGTTCCCTACCTGCGTGGGGATTTATGCTGTACAGCTGAATGTGCATGAACTGCTCTGGAAAAATCAAGCAAGCCTCAGGCCAATCGCTCAAAAGACCATAATGCATCAAGGCCTAAAAAGCAGCTCTGGTCTGCAGTCTGACTGCATGTTCTTCTTCATGGGAGTCAGGATTTTGGTACGAAAGAAAGCCTGTTTACATCCAGCAACTTTTTCAAGTATTCATATGCATAAAGAGATAAACTGTGGATTAAAACCAGCTGTTGGCATTAATATAAATTACTCACTCTGAATTCATACTCTATGAGGTTTCCAATATTATCTTCAGATTTCATAGCACTCTCACCAACGATGTTACCTCCAAAATACACCTGAGAAGGCTTAGCAACTCTGTTCAGGTAGGGGTGGGGAAGGAGAGTAAGCAGATTTTAATCAAGTCTCTGGCAATACTGTCATCCCCAACCCTCCATTCATTATGCTATCATCACATACCCAGTGAGTGATAAAAGCAATTCAAGAACCACTTTAGCACTAGCTGTAATTGGTGTTGAATTCACTTGAGTGCTTGTTCTACAATGAAAAGGAAACAATGCTGTTTATTTTACAGATTTGGCAGTATTCACATTACTACTGCTTTTGTCAATTTAGCAAATTACTTCAAATTGTTTACAACTCTATATAAAACACAGCACGTGCACACAAAGAAAACTTACGTTTCCAACTTCAGATTGATGTCCAAGTCTGTTGTATCAACATTAACTTTAGTGGTACTTAAGATCAGATAAAAGGTTACCTAGACAAGAAGTAACAATACAGTATCAAAGAAATACACCATCGAGTTTTAGAGTTAAAAAGACATCCAAATCAAATTTCCAGTTATGACACACAGAAACTTTGGACAACTGCATCAAGAATCAGGTTTTGTAACTTGAGTAAATAGGTGCAACTTACATTGGAGTTCCTTTTAAAAGGATTTCCAAGTTCACACTCTGCTTGAGAGCCATTTTGGTTAGCACCACATGTTAGCTGTTTTTCCTGATGAAACAGAAACATTAAAAGGTCAAAATAAAAACATTAAGGTCAAAATATGCTGAAAATATTTAAAATTTGAGTAGCTTTTCTCTTAAAAATACTTACAGGATAGCCCCTCATCTCTCTGAATGCAGAGTAAGTCAGACTGTCTGGGAAAGTTGCTATTAGTTTAGCTTCATATGCATCCTCACCATCTTTCTGTGGATTTTTTGCATCAGATGGATTGTTTGTCACCGTTATTTCCAGGGCAATATCCTTCTGATCTTTCAGAACAAGCACCGGCACACCATTTTCACTACAGAGTATACAGGGTTGTGCATTAGGAAGACAAATGTGTATGAAGTTTGCTTCTTACTATGGTTTGCCCAAATACAGTTCTCTCCATTAGGGAAGAACTGCTGTTAGACCATAAACACATGAATGGTCAGAGTTTTTTTTCCCAGACTAGTATTTCATGTTGGGAAGTTACCAGGACAGAACAGACCAATACACCCTCCCTCAGGTGATCAAGAGGTTGTAGTATTTCTGAACCAGCACTTGCCTCTGGCTCACCTGTAACAGTGGTGAATTTCCCCTCAGTAAGTTTACTGACCTACTTTTTCTTTTAAAATGTGTATGGTTTTGGCTTCTGAGTCAGGCTGTGGCACTCACTGCTAAAGGTGACTGACTGTTGACAGTAAAGAAACATAATTCCTTTTTTCCATTTTCACTGGCCCTCCAGGGAGCAGGGATGCAGCAGAGTGTCAGGTGTGTGTTACTGTGAAATCGTTTTTCTGTTCACTTCTCTGTAACTGCTTGTCTTGGGCTACTAGACTATAGTATATCATGTCATACAATCAAATTTCAACTCAGTTAACACTAGATATATGTAATATGTATTATACTATATATTCTGATAGTATCATACACAAACTTCTGCAAGGCTGGTTTAGAATCATTTCTCCAAGGGTTAGAAACTTTTTTCTAACTCTTAGCCCACATATGCATAGTTGTGGTCACTTGTATCCATCTGACTGTACCACCATTGCTGCTTTTCTACAGCTCATGCCCAGTCCCCCACCTTCCTCACCCTGACAGGTGATTACAGCCACACGGGGCTGTCTTTGCCAGAGTAACAGAACAAAGCTGCTCTAACACCCAAAACCCTCTCCTAAAAGTTCTTTTAAGCACTCGTTAGTAATTTGAATTTTAGCAATGCATTAATCAAGGCTTACATTGGTAGGTAAGTAAACCTGTCTTCATTTCCTTCTCTAGAGCAAAACCGGTACTGAAGTTTCAGATTGCTATGACATTCATTGTCTTCTCCACATCCTTCTTTTAAGAACTCCACCTAAATAAAGCCAAAGGACTGTTACTGCATATCACATGATAATAGCTTAAAACAAGATTCCTGATGTGTACTGTATGAAGCATCAGAGACACTTTCCTGGATAGGGTAAGATTTTAACCTGACTCTTGCCCATCAAGACTTTTTTTTGTGAGACATAGCCCTTGGTGCTGATAATTGAGAATTTTAGATGTGACCAGAAGGCAAAGTTAGATAATTCTAAGCAAGAGGTACACTTCCAATAAGGAGCAACATTCTTAAGTCTTCAGTGAGTGCTAAGGAAATGAGATATCCACTGCTGCAGAGCTCTAATGCCATTACAGCATCCTAACCATGGAAAAATTAGATGGTACATTACTTGTGATGTGGGACAAGCATTCACAGCAGGAGACAATGGATTTCCAGTTTCAATCAAAAGCAAATTTCTTCTTAAACTTGTTGTGGAGAGGAAAAAAAAAAAAACAAAAACACAAACAAACCAAACCAGCCTGGCCACTATACTATCTCCACTTCTACTACAAAAGAAACACAGGATCTAGTTCATAACATTCTGTAACAAGTTACAAACAAATACAGAATATAAGCCAGTAGTTACACATCCAGTGCCACCCCAGTTATTAATTTCCTTTGGTCATAATTTAGCTTTCTACAGCTTTTAAAATTCAGTGAGCCATCGAAGTGCAGATTTGTGGGAAAACGCGGTATCAAAGGCTTACTTTTGTGGTCTTTGTTTCAGATTCATTTGAATTTAGAATTGGTATCAGCTCTGGAAGTGCTCTGTCTTTTCTTGTGGACGGTGAGCTAGACTCCAGACCAGCAATTTTAACAGTGACTGACACTGGAATGGGTCGTAGCTTATCTTTGATTTTGTCCTGTTGAAATATTTTAAATGGCATAGTTAGTGTACAGTGCAGAGAAGAAAAAGCAACACAAAGGCTAGCTTTTGCTGTCAATTTTAGAACAAGCACTAAAGCAAAATCTTTCATGCTACATCTCCCACTGTTGAAGCTATTCACTATATAGAAACCCAGCATTTTCTAAAAAGGCACAAGAACACAAGGAGCCCAGCCCTACTGGCTGGCTAGTTTGGGTTTTTTGCCTGGCTTCCCAGTGATGATTTCTCTCACTGTTAAAAGTTCCTACGAGTAACATGGTAACTCGGGCAAATGGAATTCACACTACAGCAGTGAAATAACACATTGGAACAGGATGCTCAGGAAGGTTGTGGCTGTCCCATTCCTGGCAGCGTTCAAAGCCAGGTTGGATGGGGCTTTGAGAGCAACTTGGTCTAGTGGAAGGTATCCCTGCCTGTGGCATGGGGGATAGAACTAGGTCATCTTTAAGGTCCCTGCCAATCCAAACCATTCTGTAATTGCAGTGCGTGAAGTTCAAGATGCTTAATTGCTCTGGTCAAAAGCAATGCTGGCTCATTACTGCTGAGCCACAGGCAGAGAGTTTGTTCAGCTCCTGGAATAGTGCCACCTTTAAGGTCTGCTGTAGCAGTCAAGTCAGAGAGCACTTAACCAAGCTTTCTTGTCCTGCCCATTCATCCCCTCCAAAACCCATGGGTTAAAATTCTCTTCCTAGCCAGTGACACCGTTAAATTCTGTAACGATTACTTCTGTTGGAAACAGCTCTCCAGCTTGGCATCTATTGCCTCTCTATTGCTGCAGTGGCTACAACTTTTATTCATGCTTTGTAAGAAAAGCAACAGGAAGAAGCAGCATGCATGCAGAGAATAGTAAGGTACTACTTAATTACGGTTTGTTTTCCAGTTTTAAAGCTTTATACTGCATGTGACTTTTAAGATATACAAAGGTACCATGAGGCTGAAAAAAAGAGCATGCTTTTGTTTTCAGTGGGTCTAAATGAAATAAACTGCCTTACCTGCAGTACAAGCTTGGTTGTCACACACTCTCTTGAGTTCTGCCCCCTCAGGGTTGTGTTTGCAGTGAACTGATCAGACAGGTGGTCTTTAAACCGCACCCTGGATGGCAGGCCTAACTGCCTCCTCTCGTTTTCCGCTTCAAATGTGTACGTGATCTCTAGATGGAGAAATAAAATAGAGTCACTGTAAAAAAAACCCTTGCCTTGTTAAAAAGAACTTTAATTTCACCAGCTATGACCTTACAACGTTATTCTGGGAGACTGTTCCAGCCAGTGCTGGGCTGCACAAACCGTTCTCGGCTATTTTGCCCCTCTCCAGTGCAGGGCCAGGTACCCTGTACATGTACCTAAAGGAAACTTTTACACCAAAACCTTCATTTCCAAAGTACCCCATTACTTCGCCAGCATGCAGAGCTGGCTGGAGGAGCTGTAATTGCTGCTGTGGAGCCAGTAGAGGGCCGAGATACAAAACTTTGTGAATACTCTGAACTCTCTACACCTTTTGATCATCTACGTATTGACCAAGACAGTTTAATGCTGAAAGGATGGCAACAGCACTGAGCATTCCAGGCCTGAGGAGTGCGCAGACGGGCACACGTGAGCAGCCTCTAAGAGCTGGAAGCACTTGACCTGTTGAAGGACCAGGACCTTATGCAGGCACATCCTATGGATTTGACAAGTAACTGAGAAACTCTAGACCATACAGGAGAAGGAGGTTTGGGCTTAAAATTCTTCTCATTTCCTCTCAAAATCCTACACAGTTTTCCCAGATGTAGTAACAGTGGCATTTTAACGAGAGAAAAAACAGGACACATGAGAAACTAATGCTTTTCATTTCTAACTATATTTATGGCACAGTCTTCCAAGCTCCTATTAATACAAAGATCTTTTTATTTCCATTACCGATTTCCACAAAACCATTTTCATCAATACAGAACGCTGGTTTATATGGTAAGTCTCCAATGAGAAAGAATGCTTACTAATGATTTATAAGATGGGCTTTAAAACTGCTTTCTAAAGCAGCACTAACCTAGAGAAGCAACATGGTGTTGGTCTGTATGGCAGCCTCTTGCTCACTGGCAGTTACATTACCTAGAAAGGTTCAGTTCGGTCTGTCATGAACTTTGTAACACACCAGCATGACTCTAAAGACAGATGGTGTGGTAGCTGACAGACCTTAGTACCAAGTCACATTTTACATCTGACAGTCACAATCTGAGCTTAGTCACTATAATTTGAGTGCTGTTCTTCCATTACATGCTCCAAATAATAATTTCAAAAACCACACAAAGCACGTGACAGACAACCACATCAGAAACATTTATCGTCAAAACTTACTTATTCGTGGATTTAAATCTCTGGGGTTTGCAGTATACTGAAAGCAGGCTTTCACATCCATCCTGTAAAAACAGCCAAGAAATTAATAGGGCACAGTCCAACAGGCTGAAAAGTTTTAACAGTCCATTGACTGATATTATCAGTTCTATGACTCTGGTTTTCATGCTACAACAGTAATTTGCTGCTTACTAAACAGAACTGCAAAGCGAGAAAAAATGGCTAATAAGCAATTAGAAGGACTATTTTCTGGCATTTGCTCATGTATCTCTACTGAGAGCTGCTCAAGGTAAGATACTGGTAAGTGTTAAAATCTGAAGTGGCAAAGTGACATTCATTTTCAAAAATGGACATTATGAACAGAACAATTCCACACCTTGTGCTTAGCAAAGTGGTCACAGCAAATTCAGGAGGTCAAAATGATCACATGTACGTATATTCGCTTAACCTGCATGACTGTCACAGCCCTCCGAGTTAACATCATCACAGCGGAAAACCCAAGACACCAAGGCTTCTGATACACTTGTTTGTTGTTTTTTTAATTTACCATATTTCACTGGGGTCCTCGGGGTTCTTTTTCTTCAGATCAATTCGGTCAGGCTGTACCGTAATGCTTTTTTTAATGCTTATCACAGGCCGGGATCTTTATTTGGAGGAAAAATGGGGAATCAAAAGAGGGGGTAAAACAAAAAGAAAAAGTTTCTGTTAAGATCAATGCAGTAATTCATGTGAATCCCAGACACCCTCCATGCCTGCATGGATTTGCAACAGGCACCCCAGGAAACAGAATCTGGCTTTGATAATGGTTAGAAACAAAACTACTCTAAGCAAAGCGAGTCACAAAACCCAACACAATCGCAATTAAATGCCTGCCTGGGAAGCAGGGCATGTTAACGTGTCGCTGTGGTTGTCATTTTACACATGTATAAAAACCAGAAAATTCACAGTGATGGTTCCCACCCCAATGGTAATTCAGCCCGTGTGAACTACTGTAGGTACTGAAGTTCATTGAGATTAATGTTCACAACAGCTTTAATGTGGAGCCTGGGTGGCTGTGGGAAAAGATGTTTTCATTTCCTGACTCCTCTGCATGTAGGCTGTAACCATAATTCAGCCTGACAACTTTTCCTTTCTCTTCCTTTTTGGAAGGGACAAGAAAAGACAGTTCTCATGAGCAAACGAATGAGCTGATCCCATCAAAGCATCTAAGCGCTGCTTAAAATGGCCAAAAAGCCGCCGCCTCCTCTTTCAGCAAATTTCTTTTAAGCAGGCCACCACTGTTGGCCACCACAAAGGTTTTCATTCTCATCTCTGTAAAAGTTTTCATACTGCCCTTATCAGCAAATGATTAAAGCTCCTTTTGAGTAAGCAGAACACTTAAATCTAAGCGACCTCCCTTCCACCTACTCTGTTCTCTTCCACAAGCAACAGGAGTGCCTTTTGTTGGCTGCTGTTTCAGTGTATTTAAGAATATTCCAATTCAGTACACAGATACGATACACCTTAGAGATGGGACGGTCAAAAAAAATTGTAGGAAAGGTGGTCTGTCTGAAAGGTAGAGTTGTTTTGGGAGTTTCTGTTCCTCCTCCTTCGGGACCTCACAGCAACCACCAAAGACCTGAAGCTGACGTGGCAATCACAGCTCTGATGAGGAGACAGTCTTCTTCCTGCTCATTACTAGTGATTCACAGTACATTAAACTGGAAAAAAGGCAGAGGTCTGCAAAAGACCATGACCTCATCCCTAATTAAGGCATATGCCACCAAAATCTGAAAGTATCCTGTCTACAGGGCTGTCTCAAAGCTGTTTCATGGACCCAGTGCAACATCAGGAAGGCCGTATGCCTCGCTGCTTTTGGATCCTCAGCTACAAAAGAGGGGTTTGGTTTGGTTTTGTCCTATCTTCAATAAAGCAAGATTAGATCTGTAACAGCAGCAAACAAAAGCTCTAGCAAACATACCAGTTAACTTCTCCTTAAGGCAAAAGAATTATTTATCACCCTTAACTCCGTCAAAGGACATCAGCATCCAAGTAAGTTATCACTGGCCAATGCCAGGGTACCGCTATACTACACGCATCAGCGCTCCACAGTAACTGTCCACGTTCACCCTCTTACCCTGTATTGATTGTAAAGCTTCTCAATGGGAAGGTCTAAAATAATAAACCAATTTATGGATTTTTTTTTTCCCTCCAGAATTTCCAGCTTCTAGAAGGAAAAATGCACTGCAGGCCAAACAGCTTTGTGTTACTTCTCAGCAGGCTGGTTTTTGAGAAAACTAAACCTAAAGCCTTGGTTCTGTATACACCACCAGTTCTGTATTATTCCGTATATAATACCAGTTCTGTATATAATACCTGAACACAGAAACAGAATCTGAAAGGGAACCAACAGCAATATCGGGGTAGGAGTTTTTGTCCAGGTCCATGTTTCCAGCAATAGAGTAACCAAAAAAATTGGTGCCTGTTTTTTCACCATCAAGAATCTAAAGATCAAACAGATTGAGGGAATTCAGACATTTAAAAGCTCTAAAAGTGAAATAAGCAACAAGTGAACATCATTGACTCATGGCCAGGAGAAAAAAAAAAATAGATACAAGGAAATGGGATCTCTGTGTTCAGGTAAATAAACTGAAGTGCCAAGGTTTGCTTTTCTTCCAAGAACTTACTGTGCAGTAGCAGCAAGTACCAGAAATTACTGGTTCGCACAGAAATGTGACCTAGCTTATCTTTATTTATAGCATTTATGCAGTAAGGCACTTGAAACTGAAAACTTACCTAGAAAATATTCTTACAGGATTCTAAGAAGCATAATCAAGTTCCATTCTCACCTTGCAAACTGAACACAGCAGTCCTCAAGTAAATACGAAAAAGGCATAAACGTATCTTCTTAAAAAGGAAAGTGAAGGAGCAGTAGTGCAAGAGGAAATGAACACACCAATTATTTTAAAATCCAAAAATTTCTTTCAAAAAACCCAGACTTACCCATCTACGTGCCTTTTTCTTTCTCTACGTGTTATTGCTGCCAAAGGACTGCCCAGGAAGCAAAAATGTGTATTGAAATTAAGCATCCCTAAACTTCCTGGTCAGTAATGCAAGGGCCCTGTGACTTTTCTGCATGTCCCCCAACCCACTAAAAGCAGTGGAAAGGGAGAAGATGGATAGTCCTGACATTCATTTTGTGCAAGACTAATTCTGTATAGTAACGGTTATTTCATTACCTGTGCTGGTTTTGTGTTTATTCCATTCCTGGATCCATGATAAATGTATACTTTGCCAAAACCATCATAGGGAGCCCCTATTGCAATATCTGTTGAAAAGAAGTGGCGGTATCTAAAATCATTCTTGCTCTTTCTGCAGCCTGCAATCATGTTGAAGGTGCATACAGGGTGTTCCACGTCTGGCATTAGCAAGAAAGTGCCGTACGTTTGTACGGCAGTTGTGTTTCACTCACCTGGATATCCGTCCTGATTAACGTCCCCTACATTTTCAACTGCAAGACCAAACATGGAGTCGGTGGTTCCATTTAAGCGAATGGGCTTTACTCTGTCCCATTTGCCTTGCTGGTTAATGTAGATGTAGGCAGCACCACCAATGTCTCCACTTCTGTCAAAATACTGCGGGGCTCCAACAACAATGTCCTGCCACCTTAGAATTAAAGGAAAAAAATGAAGGGATGCTTTTACAGAAGGACTGTGAAAAATGTCTGATCAACTGATGGGACCACGGTCTCAAAGTCAGCTGGCCAAATAGCTGCTGAACAGGGGCTGAAAAATACATTGGGCTGGTTGAGCAACAACAGCTCCGATACTACAAACTGCTTGTGTTCCCTTTGTGACATACAAGGATCTTCTAGGGCCTTTATCAGGTATGGGATTTGTTTTTTCCTTCTGTGTTTCCACTAATTGTTTAAATAAAACTCTTTTCTGTAATTAGAAATGTAGACTGTATCCTGACTGGTTCTCTGAGGTGCCCACCATTTCCTCCAGTAAAACATGGAGGATGGGATTTGGCATTCCTTGTATTTCTAACATGGAAAATCAAAGCAGAAATAAACCAGACTGCCATCCTTCATTATAGGAGTTACCAAGGCCATACCCATCATTGTTGAGATCCACAACAGCAACATCATAGCCAAAAGAAGAGGCCAGCCCTTCTCCTTCAAACATGTGCTCGAGTGACAGCGCTCTCTGGTTTTTCTCTTTTTTCAGTAGAACAACTGCTCCGCTGTGGTTGGCTCTTGGGGCACCAGACACAAAAGTCATCTCATCCTGGGAGACAATTCCTTTACCAGAGTCCAAAGAGAAACCTTTAACAGAGAAAGAAAGAAAATATGAATACACAAACTGACAGCTTGTACTGCTGACAGGGAAAATAAATTCTCCTACTATATTAAAGTGGTACATTGAATCATGGAAGTTTTGCCTAAAACAGAGTACAATGTACTGGGCATTCTCCATTTCTACTTGGACTGGTGGATCCATTTTTACAGATCTACACTGTTCCACACATAACATCTAAGTATTTCCTCCACAAAACACATTATTGCATTGCTCACTCAGATTTACTTTTCACAGACACCAAATACAAGCTTAGAACTTGAACACCAGCCTTACCACTTGAATATAGCACAAATGGTTCACCTCTGGCAAAATTATTCTAAACCTTGCTAAGTACAAGTCAGTATTGTTCTGCTGCAAACATGCACAATGTAACACACAAGCACAGTACCTCACATGAAGGATGTACACAGTATTTGAGAATCAGCTTACACAGTAATGGTGAAATGGGCAATTTTGATATAAGTAGCCCTAAAGGACACATTCAAATGATTTAGTTCTACACCTTCTTTATAGAAGTCAATGCGTTTTTAAATGTATCAAAACTGATAAAAGAACACACTGCATAAGCCAACATATCCAATAAAAGCCAAAGTAGCAAGTGATGCGCATTGCAAGGAAGGAAGATACCAGCCAGCAGATAGAAATCTCCCTTCTGAAACACTTCACCACTACCATGAAAATTCTCAATTACAGCAGTGCACAATGAGGCAGTTTCAGAAGAATTCAGGGAGTCCCATCTGGGGGAGGGATGAGAGGTTTGGAGAAATGCATGACAAATCAGTGTTTCTCTGAAGCCATGTTATTTTGCAAGCTCCTCTTCATCTGAATCCCAACGTTTACATGCTTTACTTGCAATGTATTTGAGATGAGGAGGGGATGGAGGGGAAAGGATCATGTCACAGGTCTGGAGATTATGTCTGACCAGATGCTGCCACCTCAGGTGGTCACAAACCTAAGTAGCTATTCATCATAACATCCACCGAGTTGTCCACCTGTGTGCTGGGAGGCAGTGTTTTGTATACAAACTGATCTGGATGAGTATCAGATACAGCTGTCAAAAACAGAAGACCTGTACACATGAGTGAAAGATTGAAGAGAAAAAGAACAGCAGTTAAGCAAAGCAGCTATAACCGTGTTTATTTACTGTCTAAACAGAAGGAACAGCAATGCCAGTGCACAGCAGGCTTGCCTGGAAGTGGGTTTGATTATGACACATCAAAGGCATCATTTACATGTAGGAGGTAAATGCATTTGTTAGGAAACTACAAGAAGTCCGTATTGCTCTGTTCACAGCAAAAGACACCTCCGCAGCATCCTCACTGCACCAATTGCTGTTTCACCAGCAGAGGCTGGCAGCTTGTCTTTCTAACATAAGCTCTTATGAGTTTAATTTTTTTACACCCAGTAATTACTGCTGATTCTTAATGGAAGTTTATGTTCTATGTCTTCTAAGAGATACATAGCTCTAAGCTGGCTCTTCTCCTGACTTGCTTCTACTTTTTGGATGAGTGATGCCCTTCCCACCTGTTCGGTTTCCCCCACTCGCACAGAAATTCCATTCTCAAGTTGCCAAAACTGTTCTTGTTGCAAATGCGAAAGCAGTGGGTCAGAACACCACGGAAACCTGCACCAGAACAGAAAGGCCCTTCACGCTCGAGACCTTTCCAAAAATGCAGCGCAGCCTTTTCTCTACACCAAAGTACCTCACTGGCGTACAATAACATCCACTGGCCTAAGGGCATATTGCTGCTTTCATGCACGCATAAGGTGCAAGAGACTCATGTCCTGCAACACACACACACTTTAAACACAAACACTACTCATATTATGGTGTTGTAAAGACTTGTAAGCAGGCCACTGGAGATTTAAAAACTTTAAGAAAACAGTGCACTCACTTACCAGGAGTGCAGAAGCTGCTGTCTTGACACTTATACCCAGAAACTCGTATTTTTATAAACCTCTGATACCACATGGCAAAGACCTTGTGACTCAGGACTACAGATCATACACTGTACTTAACCATCAGAGCGATTATAATCGCTCCCTGAAATCTGTAGGTCCTCACCACAGCTCTTAAAGGTCTCATTACATTCACAGCTCTGCTAGGTTCCTCAGCAGAACACCACCTTACACTTAAAACTGGCCCATGAGCGTAGAGGGAGACATGAATTAGCCAAAACGGTTAACACATTACAGGGTCCACAAATGAAGCGTTTTCTGTTCCCATTTCACATCATCGCACCGGGCTGGGATCATAAATGAACACTTATGCCTAAAGAGATTCACCATATGGACTTAGTCCTACCTAAGTAACTGTTAGCTGGAACAGGAACTAGATTCTTATCTTGGCGGCTCTCATCACCAACTTCGTAAGGCCCATCATCAAAGATACCCAGATCATAAAATGTCTGATTCTTTTGCTCTGCACGAACCACCCCTGGGGAGATGAAATGATAAAATAAAAGCAAATGAATGGTAAAGGAGAAAAATAACAGATAAGTGGTTCCCAAATAACATCAATTACAATGAATGAGATGGTGACAGCTGTTTAAATGGGACAAAATGCACTGGGTGACAGCGTTTTCAAAAGGCAATGAATTTCTGTGGTCTATCTGTGTGACACTCAGGCTGCTCTCCAGAGAGGCCAAGCAATATCTGGAAAACATGGAAATTCTCAGCAAACACATGGCACCAACATGGTGAGGAACCACCCCCATCCCACAGTTCTTAACCTCATAAAGTCTCTCTTAAAAGGGAGGTAAATACACAGGAATTAAAGAAAGAAATAATTAAAAATGACTGCTCAGCCATGACAATCACTGGTGATGTATTCAGAAAACATTATTTATGGGGAAAAGAGCTACTGCTTGATAGAATATGTGCTCCCCTTTTATCAGGGGCATATTTAACATTTTGGCAAGCACAAACATGTTTTCCATGATACATAAGAGTACTCCTATGACTGACAGACTGTCATAGCACTGCTCTGCAATTGAAGCCAAGCAGTGTGTGAACTCAATATGCTGTTTCAGCTTGGTCAGGTTTTGTTGACAGATACGGGGAAGATTAAGTTTTCACTAAAGTACACCTTGTGCCAGAGCTTAACTCAAAGATTTTGCACGGTTCACAGAGCAGGCGCAGGTGTACGAGGGAAAAATGTAATGGTTCAAGGATCAGATGTTCTAAAGAGGGAAATATTTACAGCTGTTTGTCTAATGAAGTGTGACGGGAAAAATCACTTTCAGACAGAGCTGGCCGTTTCGATGCTTCTCAATATAAACTAACAGAAAAACCACGGTTATTTTCCCCCTTCATCTCCTAGATGATAGAGAGTACTTGGCTCTTAATCAGACAGATTATCCATGGATTCAGATACGAATACATGTAGTATGGCTCCATTCAGTTATCTTCCTGCACTCCTCCAGTATCTACTTTGGGAAGTCCTATTTTCTACAGACGTCACAAAGAACAAAATGGAGAATACTGCAGGATAAATATACTGAAAGGAATATCAGTAAATACTTGTGATACAGAAGCATACTTTCTGTGAAAACGGGATAAAATAATTAGACTCCTGTTATCCCCTCCCCCCTCCAAAAAAAAAAGAAAACTGAGGGTGCAACCCTTGTGAGCAAGGAAATGGGAAGGATAGGCAGGAAGGAAGCCAGCTCATACCTTTCCAGTTGTAAGTGCCTGGGGCACCAAACACAATATAATGATAGTCTCTAGTAAAAGTAGCAGCAACACCTTGCTGACAGGAACCAAACTTCTCATGGCCTCTTAAACGACCATCACAGAAACTCCAAACTCCATTATCCATATCATCTTTAATAGTGAGATCCTGGCTCAGCACATAGCACCTTCCAATGATATCCCGGGTTTCCTGCACAGTGTTTACATACTGTCTCTTCTCATAGCGATGTGCACATGTCTGCAAGACAGAAGAAATAACAAGTGATGCTTTCTGTATGTCTGTATGCAAGTCATCAAAAGAAGGCTGGACTTCTTTAGCAATACTTCATGCTAGCAGTGCTGCAAGTCATCTTGTAGACACATCCATGTTGCAATGGAGAGAGCTCACTGTTCCCTATGGGCAGTGTATGGGAAAAGTTGGGCATCTGTGGATACAAGCCAGAGCAACCAGCTTCATGGATAAGTAAGGCCACATGGTTAAATCCCTCTTCCCTGTGGGACCTCAGAGGTTTAGCCCTAAAGCTTTCCCTGATACCTAATACCTCTCCTTCAAGAGGTGAGGAGGGAACCACTGTCTCTCATAAGGGAAGAAGTGTCTGTTTCCCCATAGCCGGCAGAGTTAAACGACGTACACGCTTGTGCAGAACATGAGAAGCCGGTTTAACTACCGTCTACCCGAGACTACCTAGAACACAACCCTGCCAGGAAACTGCCCTAAAGCAGAGGCTGAAAGCTCTTCCAATGAAAGGGAGGGAAGTTGTTCCTATTTCCCATGTTGGCTGTTCCACTTACAGAATAACTGTCACTGGGACAGCAGCAGCACTAAGTACAACTTAACCTTTTAGGCTATTCACCTGGGAACATAATACTAATCAAATATTTAACACAGAGGATGAATAGCCCTGGGTTAAGTGGTGTAAACACCAAACCATTGTAAGAAGAGATGGAACAATCTAACCCCTTTGCCAGCAGTGTTTGTTGCAGAACCAGATTCAGTAGGTGTGTGAAAAGCAGAAGCAAACAAGGTTTCTCAGCTGATGCACCTTTTCTCCATTTCCTGTTAAGGCTTAAATATTAAGCAAGTGTCCAGGTGCTCTGTTCCCAGAGCACTGCAGTACTGCCCTGCCGCACAGTGACCTTCAGGCTGCCCACACCTCATCTAGTAAGTACATTTCCCACTTATCACTTACAAAGACAGCATTAGTTGATGATTAATTATTCAATGAGCAGGAGACTGTCTGCTCTCCTCTCTCTTTGGGTTCTGAAGCAGACTGAGGCAAGTTATTTCTGCCTCTGTCATTTAAGGACTCCAGATTCACACCCTGAAGTGGTTTGCCTTCAGTTTGGGAAGCAAGTATCTTGCTGATATTAACCTGCAAGAACATTGCACACCATGTCATGATGCAGCCAGTATCCTACAGCACCAGGAGAGGTTTATTTAACTGAGAATGAGCTAAGAAAGTAACATTCTCTGGTAACTCCTGAAAGCTTTTTCTCTCTGTATTGTATAAAATCTCTCTGTAATGTATAAAATAAAGACCAGCAAGTGGTTTTACTGCAGTGCAATGGACTTACTAATTCACAGGAGCAACTCAAATTTCCTGGTGAAAGCTAAACTGAGGCTGATCATCCTAAAAAAAAAGGCAGAGGACATCCTGCTACTTTTACAACCTCATCACACTGTTTCTCCCCATTTCTGTACCGAGTGGCATTTGAAAGAAACAAGGTACATATCACAAAAATAAAACCGTAAGTGGACACTCTGAAAATGCACTGCCCACCCTAGGCTGCTACAAAGGTTATAAAGAAAGGCTAACTCACAGCTAGAAAAATAACTTAAAGATTTTACAGCCTCAAGTGTCTTACTGTGTGTGGTGGTTTAAACCCAGTCAGGTAACTCGTTCACTCACTTCCCCGCTTCTTGCCCTCCCCCTACTCCCAGAGGGAGGAGAGGAGAATCAAAAAGAATGCAGCTCCCACGGGTTGGGATAAGAACAGTTTAGTAACTAAAGTATAACACAAATCACTGCTGCTACCACCAATGATAACAATGATAAAGAAAATAACAAGGGAAGAGAATACAACACCTCACCACCTGCCGACTGATAACTCGCCCCCCCCCCCCAACCCAACCAAGCACCGACCGATACCTCCTCCAACCCTGCAGTCTCCCAGCCCTTCTGGGTAACTCTCAGTTACATCCTGGGCATGACGTGCTGTGGTATGGAATACCTCTTTGGCTAGTTTGGGTCAGGTGTCCTGTCTCTGCTTCCTCCTGGCTTCCCTTCCTCCCTGGCAGAGCATGAGGCTCACAAAGTCCTTGGCCAAACCAAAACATCATTGTTATCAGCTCTGTTCCCAGGCCGAAAGTCAAAACACAGCACTGCACCAGCTACCAAGAAGGAGAAAAATGACTGCTACTGCTGAACCCAGGACACTGTGCTAGGGAGACACACAAGTCCTTCCTTAGAAGAAATCACAGGAGCAAACAGTGGGAAGTTGCCTTTCAGAAATCTGTACAGGAACACAGCCTATTCACAACATTTACTGAAGACTAAGAATGGTTTTCCAAGTTAGACCTTCAGACTTACCACCACATTTCCTCCTGGCCCTTGACTTTGAACAGTTACACCCATCCACTGGTCTTCTTTACTCTCCATCTTCGGATCAGCTGCAGAATTTCATAACACAGTGTCAGATATTAACAGTTAAATACTTTATTTTCCTTTTTGTCTCTTTCAACAGGCCTTTCCTACAGTACACGGGACAGCCTGCAGGTGGCAGTGTCCGTACAGTTTATCACAGACAACATCCAGTTTTGTTAAACACTTCTAGCTTATCACTTCATGCCACATCCATTAATGAAAGAGTAAGAACATCCAAATCTACCCAGAATTAAGCATCTCATACTACTATCTTAGCAGTTAAGCTACAACTTAATCTGATCCAAAAAATCTTACATATAAATCCATCAAAACAACTGATGCCTTTGGAAAGGACCATATCAGGTAAGAGGAATTATACAACTGTTTCAATCTAAAAGTGCTGAAGAACTTACTCTCCTCATCAAATATGACACGAGTGCAACGTGCATTTGGAGATGCAATGTCACAGCTGTACAGCCCTCCGGTTCTGTTAGCCTGCTGGGCTGGAAAGGCCTTTTCCCGAGGAGCTCCAACCAGCAATCTGCAGGGAAAGAGAAAACTTCAATGGATCTGCTGAAGGGAATATTCTTTTCACCAGGTTGCCAGAGGTTTGACATGCAAACATGTGAAGATGGATCAAAAGCTACATCACAGCACGGTTCCTGAAACAAAAATAAGGAGGCCTGTAAAGCAGAAACTAACAGTTGTGTGATTACTGGACCTGCAAAGCAGTGGATGTGTTGTTATTGCTGCTGTTACTGTGACAGTGTTCACTGGGAGCAGTTGATCAGAACTGTGTAAAAGTAGTTATGTGGAAACCATCCTCCCGTCAGGTTGTCCAGTGGGGTGTCTTCTGCCTTTATAGTACCTGCTGGTAAGGGGGGGGGGGGGGGGGGGGGGGGAAGTATTGTTACTTAAATGACCACAGCCCCCCAACACAGTGAATACAACTGCTTTCAGGCTGTCTCCTAATTTTACACCAGTCCTGTGCCACTGTTTGGCTGAATTTACAGGCACTTTAGTATCATCATGCAAAGCAAGATCCCTCCTGGCCCAAGCAAGGGTTCACTGAACTGGCTCTGTACACACATGCACTCCCCCTCTTCACTCCTTTGGCCAGATACTCCATTTTGAAGCTGAAAATGTACTTCAACAAACATCTCATCAAGAACAGGCCATTCCTACAAAGGACTTATTTCTCCTATAAAAAGGCCACTCTAACAAGCCCTCCACAGACACTGTTTCTGTTAATCAAATGGGAAGGTTCTCATTTTAAAAACTGAATAAAGCAAATTGTTTTCCTGCATCCCCCTGAGCATCATCCCCCACGAGCATTACCACAAAATCACCAGTAGACATATTTACTTGAAAAATAAGGGGTTTCAGCCAAAAAAAAAATCTTACATTGCCTATGTTTTTTTGAAGAGACACATACAAAGCACAGCTGCCCCTCAAGCAGATAACTGAAATGAATAACAACCAGCATGCAACAGTTTGTGAAGAAACAAGAAACATCACACTCAGCTGAAACAACAAGGATGAGAACAGCATGTGGATAGGTGCAACACAGTAGGCGTGATGGATGGATATACCGGACTCCACGTGCTTCCTGCCCTTGGTACAAAACATCTGACAGAAGATGCCTGACATTACTCCGTCAAGGAGGGACAATCTGGGACTATAGCTGGATCCACAAGGCTCAAAAATGAACTCTGACCCTCTTTAAGCTTCAGCTATAGAGTTTTGCTTGAGAGAAAAGCTTTTCTGCATGCTTTATAGCACAGCGCTGTCCCTCAGACTGCTTTTCTTACTAAGAACAAGACTCACTTTTATTCATATCTAACAGTTCAGACTGAATCAGTTATGATCAGCACGTAATTTGTTATTAACAATGACGTTGTTATTCAGTGTCACTGAATAATGAGACAAAATTTAACTAATGTCTCATGAGAAAACACTTTTTTTATAAACAGAAAGTTACATTAGCCAAGTGTTCACCACTTTCATAGAAATAAATGCTCCCACAATCCATAATTTGCCGTTGTGAAGGTAAACCCCTGCATGGTGAAACCTTCAGGTAAGACCCTCACTTTTGCCTGGTACACACATGAAATCAGGACACACCACGTGGGTGGGTTCTGGTTTAAAGTGTTTCCTTCTTTTCCCCCTACATACTCCTGGCATCCTTTTCAAAGGTTTCTTCAGAAACGAAGCAGTCCTCACAGGAGTTTGTAACCCAAACAACAACCACGCTTTCAGAAAGGCCATTTAATAACTCCATTTCTAATTTCGGCAACAGTGCCTCTAACTGTAATCTCCTACAGTGACTCTTTCGCAAAGCATCTGTTTCTGAGCTAGTCCTGATGTGGGAATAGATACATTTTCTTCTCAGTTCTGTTATGCCCCAGGGAAAGACACATGAGATTTTTTTTTATATATATATTTTCTTTTTTTATATTAACAACCGACACGAGATTTGCATATATACATTTTATATTAACAACCATAAATTTAAGAAAGTAGAGGCACTGATTTCCCAACTTAATAAGATTTTTATTATTTCTACCTTTTCATTCAAAGTTTGGTGGTAAAAATCATTTCTTGAATTTCACTTACAGAAATCGGATCAGAAACCTCTGTTTCAACACTGTGAACACAACTAAGGCTTCTGGAATTGACACACTTAATCTGGTTTAATCCACCCACCTGCATACTATTGACAGCAGTGGTGCCAGATCAACTGAAATATGACCTTCTATAATATACCGGCAATTTTGATGGCAATTCAGCCAGAGGGGACACCTATGGAAGCATCAGGGAAGAAACAGTGCAGCCAACAGAAGACGGAGTGGAAAGATGGACCACCTGCCATAAGATGCCCCAAATGTTCTATGGCATCTCAAACAGGCACCTGATGAGATCAATAAATGAAAAATGCTTCTTTAAAGAGGCTTCTTTAAAGAAAAGAAAGTGTCAATCCAACATGACCTCAAAGGGAACAGGCATCCTTACATCCCTCCCAGTGCTCATGCCCCCTGACAGTATCTTGTGCAAGTTATTTTCCACTGTAAATGAAGTATTTCAAAGCAGACTGGTTTAAAGCCCTCAAATAACTTGTGTCAGGAAGCCTGGCACTTGTCTTCAAGGCTCATCAAACACAAAAGCCTTGAGTCCTGTCAGATGCATCGCTGGAAGTCCTTACTCACAACACAGTTCACAATACACACACACTAGCACACACCATGAGCAGGTGCTTGCAAAGGGTTAGATCAGTTCAGGCAGACACCATGGTAAGTCCCAAAATGTATTTTCAAGCAGTAGTGAAAAGACCCATTAAAAACTGGGCGTAACTACTCTGTACTTTCTCACTACTTGTCTGCCCTAAAGACCACAGCAAAGATTAAACTTTTGCTTCCAGGTTCTGCAAGGCAAGTTAAAGACGATGAGGATTATAAATGTTTATGAGGATCATCACCATTATTAGGGACTTAAGCCTGTGCATCTAGTCTCTGGATGAATAAATAAAGTGAAACACGTCATGCGTGCCAAGCACGCTGCGACTTGTGACCAACAGAGCTGTTGGTCTCACTGCCCACTGCTCAAGAGGTACGTCTGAAAAATCAGAATTCTATTAGAGAAGCCAAATGAAAGTGTGCACCTAACTAAGGAAGTATGACACAGACCATGCACCAGGGTGAATTTCAGCATGACTGCAGCAGTCCAAATGAATCAGCCTGTACCGAGCTGTGCGACGTGCTCAACGGAGTCCTTCCATACTGAGGACACATTCCAGTCATTACTGTACGGCTACTTACTTGGCTGCATTTTAATAGAAGAAGTTCAGTCAAGTTGGAGCTCATTATGCCAAAAGCGGGTCAGGTTTTTTCTGCATGTTCCACTTTAGCTTTCACAGTGGCAAGCAAAACCTCTTTCTGCAAAAGAAGGAACTGGGGGGGGGGGGGGTGAGAGGTGCTCTCCTGGCTATTGCTATCTCCTTGTATCAGCAGGTGAAACACTGACATAAAACCCAAAAACTTCCTCTGCAAACAACAACTGACAAAAGCAAATTCTTCATTTCTCTCCACCCATGATCACAGCATGACTCATTTTATTCACTGAGCCTTCCTCCTGAAGGTGTACAAGGGCTACAGTCACTACTGTCAATGCAGGTCTGAATGCCCAAGTGAGGCTCCAGAATCCATATTTAGATACCAAAATAATGCCCCAATGTCAAGACTGCAGAGTCAGAGATTAAACCCCAGAGACTCCAACATATGGACATTTTACTGGCCTTCTATCCCATGGCAGGTTTGCCTTGTTACTGCACAGAAACAGAAGCTCAGCTATACAGCATACAGAACACAAACATGCCTGAGCATCTGTTCCTGATGGAGCCTTAGCTATCCATGATTTATGATGATTTAGTATCGAATGTTTAACATGAGCTAAATGTCAGACAAAAAAAATATTACTGTTCCTCATGTACAAATCAGGTGCTTTGTGATACTTGAATCCTGATTTCCCCATTCATCTTGCTTAAATATGTACTATAAATTGACGAGGTTTTCCCTGAGCCAATCAGACTGCACAGGTGTTACATTAACTTCTGTTAATAGTGCATTACGTTACATTTCTGTAGATTATAAGAGGTGTCTATCAAATCATAATGTTGGGAAAAAACATCAGAATTCTCTCATATCCTGGCACAAAACCCCAATGCTCTTTGGCTCCAGTTATATCCCATAACTGAAACACGCGCCTTCCAATTTCAAACTAGAATTCCAATGTCAAACAAATGCATCAGTCCTGTTGCTCTGTTGGTTAAGAGATAAATTATTGCTTTCTCTTAACTACTTCTTGGAAATACATGATAATGACTGATGTCCCACTGCCAATTATGAGCATCTGTCAGCTTCCAGGGACAGATTTACTCCCTTACAACCCCAGATTCATGGCCAAACCTGAGATAATCCTATAGGATCAGAGCTCCAGGATTGCCATGCATTGACAATTTAACTAAATGACCACAGTGGGACCCAGTTTTGGCTCAGGTGAATGGTGCCTGCATTGCACAGATGCAGGAGATCCCAGCTACACCACTGCAGTATTACACCACCCCGACCAAAACAGCTGAGACAACAAAAAACTCCATTTCATCAGTTATGATGAACACCACTCAAGCCTCAGAAAAGGCATTCGGACATCTTGCTGACTTCACCTAGAGCTGACCAGCCCTGTGGATAACTGCATGCAGAAAACACTCTTTATAAAGAGTTTCCAAGAAGTGGAAGGAGGTGGGAACTCACCGCCCAGGCAGGCAGGCCTCAGTCTGTCGACTGCTGTTGGCCAGTATTCAGTAAGATCAGGTGGGTGAACAATCAAGAAGGCTCTAAGTTAATATAATCAAAAGTACCCCTAAAGAGTTATTAAAATCCAAAGCAAAATACAACAGAAATGGCTTCCCATTTTTTGCAAAATATTGAGCAGTGGGGTGCAGGTTTTAAAACCCTCCTTGCTTTCCATGGTAACTCTTTGAGAAAT